TGGTACAGCTCAGTGTTACGAGCGAGAGGGGGTGTTGGTATTAAAGGGTTAAGAAGCTCTAATCAAGACGCTCTATTCACTGAGCAGCTGGAGGTCGTTAAGCTTCCAGGAATGTGAGTTTGTATAAATAGTCAGCTCACTCGTGTGTTTGCCCCCCTTCCCTTTTTTGGGGGGGCGTGTTTGCTGAAATGTGTGGTTCTTCACCAGGGTTTTTGTTTTGTGTAAATAAACCTTTTATTTGAGTTCCAAACCGCTTGCTCCAAGATCCCTTTATTGCAAAGATGCTGACTCTCCAGCCCTTCTTGAGCCGCTGTGCGAAATGCTCTGCTGTAATGGCACATTGTCGCATCGGAAGCAGCATATAAGATAAAGAGAATTTGAGGCCATAAACCCAGGTACACATGTTATCATTTAGTGAATCATTCATACAATCACCTTTAGTGAGGGTGTAGTACCTAGATTCTGAACCAAACATTGATATTTTTTGCTTTTTTATAGGAAGGATGTGGGTGGGGAGAATTCTGGGATTCATCTCCACAGAAGCATTCCCAACCAGGGTGGACATTAGGCTCTCAAATTTAAAGGGAGCCAGTGTGGTGTAGTGGTTAAGAGCAGTGGACTCGTAATCTGGTGAACCGGGTTTGCGTCCCCACTCCTCCACATGCAGCTGCTGGGTGACCTTGGGCCAGTCACACTTCTCTGAAGTCTCTCAGCCTCACTCACCTCACAGAGTGTTTGTTGTGGAGGAAAGGAAAGGAGAATGTTAGCCGCTTTGAGACTCCTTAGGGTAGTGATAAAGTGGGATATCAAATCCAAACTCTTCTAAAGGGTGCCCTGTGCAGTGCTAAAATTCAGCACCCTTCCCTCTTGTTCTTCAGCATTGTTTTGGCACCCTCTGCAGCGTGATGCCCAGTGTAAGCACACCAGTCGTGCCATTCTAAAACTGCCCAGGCCCAACCTTGGGATGTGGTGTTGGCATGGGAGAGGTCCTTGTCCTGCCCAGGTGGACCACAGATAAACACTTCCCGTAAAACTATAGGAATATCGAAATCAGGCCTTCTCCAGCTGGCAAGATGACTGGGAAACACTTCTCCTGCCACAGAAGGTCACAGCAAACCTGGAAATTCTGGGTTTCCCCATGGCACCACTGGGCTGCTGCTGCTGCTGGGCCGCAGCCTTTCCCAAACCATGGCCCTGTGAAGAAAGAAGGACATTGTATTGTCTTGGCATAGGCATCAGCTCTAGGGGACAGGGGTCCCGTGGGCCCTTCCCAGTGCTTTTCTTCTGGGGTACAGCCCCCTCAATATTTTCTCTCTCCCCCCCCATCTGCCTTCCCAGCTCCCTCCCTTCCTTAGTCTGCTGCCTCCCCCCAGCCACATCCCTCCTTCTTCTGTGTGGCACAGAGCAGCTCAGCAGCAGCACAGCGGACTCAGGGAAGGAGGGAGGCAGAACAAGCAGCCCTTCCATGCTGCCCATGCCCACGTCACCACTGGCTGCCAACGCTCACTGCTCCTGCCTGGGCACACAACGGCCCAACCCCTTGCTTGGAAGGAGTGGGGCAAGGGGTTGGGGCGAAACGGGCCTACTCCCCACCCCAGCCCCGTTTTGCTCAGATTGGCGCCACAACCTCCTGGCACATATGGGGAATGGATTCCCCATGGAATTAACATACCACGACTTCCAAGTTGCAGTTTTTATACATGGCAGCTTCCCCTTCTTTCATTTGCTCATGAAGCCACAATAGCCTCTGAGGCCTTTTTTCGCAAGTATCTCACCATCATCTGACAGGTATCCCTCTTGCAGGGCATTATAAGGCTTGCTTGCAAAGCAGCACTTTGTGACATCAGCTGGCAAACAGGGGCCAGGCTGCTGGGTTGCCAGGTAGCTGAATTAATAAGAAAGGGGGGGGGGGGGCAAAGTGGGATGAGGCCACCATGGGTCAGGCCAGAGTGTGCTGTTGGGGTGTGGTTGTGCCTCCCCTTGTTCTCCATCTTGCTCCCCCGCCCGTTCCTTTAGCTGCTCGATAGAATTATAGCATGGTAGAGTTGGAAGTGATCCCAAGGGTCATCTAGTCCAACCCCCAACAATGCCAGGATTCTGCCCACAGCTGGGCTCTAAACTCCGACCAACTTCTTACCAGCCAGATGAACTGACCCCTTGCAATTCTGCATGGGGTGGAGAAAGGGGAGAAACGTTTTGCGCGCTGTCTCAGGACATTGATATGAGCATGCCTTTGGGGGGTAAAGCCAAACAGTTGGAGAGTGAGTCTCTATTGAAATTCATGTTGTTACAGGTCTCCAGGCTGTCATGGTTAGAAGGTTAGGAGAGGCCTCATCCTGAAACTTTAGGGGAACGCTTGTCAGCTGATTAAGACCAAGGCTTGGCAGAAGGCAGTCCACTGGTGCCTATCTAACGCCCTCTGGTTGCTGGAGTTTTAACAATCAACACAGGACTGGGCAGACTTTGAATGTCAGAGGCAGCAGTGCTTCTGAATACCAGTTGCTGGAAACCGCACAAGTGCTCCTCTGCTCAAATCCTGCTTACAAGTTCCTCGCAGGCACCTGGTGGGCCACAGTGAGAACAGGATGCTGGACCAGATCGAGCTGATGCTCTTCTTATGTTCTTAACAAAGCACGTTCATTGTGTGGAAGCAAACTGAGGGACCCTGGGTGCCAACTTCAGCTGTCAGGCTAGCCTCCCTTGCTGGGCTGTTGTGCAAGGATGGAAGGGAGGAGCCTTCTGGGGAGGGAGGCTCGAGCTCCGGGGCATGTTGTTGTGGTTATCCGTCTGTCTGGGGAGACAATGGAAGAGGGTGCCTAATTCAAGGCAAACGTTACTGTTTTTGTTCCTCTGAAATGTGAGCGCGAATAATCCGTTGGGAAAACGCCGTCCTGCCTTGCGGGGCTGCTGTAAGGATAACGGAGAAGCGCTTTAAGCCCCCCTCAAAGCGCTATAATAGGGGAGGGCAATGCTTTTCTTGGTTGGTTTTCCCAGCAGCGCTGTATGGAAGTGAGAGTTGGACCATAAAGAAGGCTGATCGCCGAAGAATTGATGCTTTTGAATTATGGTGCTGGAGGAGACTCTTGAGAGTCCCATGGACTGCAAGAAGATCAAACCTCTCCATTCTGAAGGAAATCAGCCCTGAGTGCTCACTGGAAGGACAGATCCTGAAGCTGAGGCTCCAAGACTATGGCCACCTCATGAGAAGAGAAGACTTCCTGATGTTGAGAAAGATGGAGGGCGCAAGGAGAAGGGGACCACAGAGGACGAGATGGTTGGACAGTGTTCTCGAAGCTACCAGCATGAGTTTGACCAAACTGCGGGAGGCAGTGGAAGACAGGAGTGCCTGGCGTGCTCTGGTCCAGGGGGTCACGAAGAGTCGGACACGACTAAACGACTAAACAACAATGCTTTTCTTTGGGGTGCGGGGCGCTGAGAGGGGGGCGAGTCCCCCCCTCCTCTCCATTTCTGACGGGGGTAAAAGCAGACCGCCGACCGCGGAAAATCAGAAGCCCCTTCGACTTCCATGGCAACGACGCCAGGCCGCTTCGCGTCCCCTCAAGCCGAGGAAAGAGGCAGAGAGAGAAAGAAAGAAACGGCTGAGGCGAGAAGCAGCCGCAGCCAGGCCTTCCTCCTGCCGTTGCCGGGGCAACGCCTCAGGGAAGTCTCGCGAGATCTTGGGAAGCCGGCGACTCCCCCTCTCTCGTGAGCGGGAACAGGAGGAGAGCCGCTTGGCGAATGGGGTTGCGGAGGAGGCGTCACGTGGCGCGGCGCGCGCGCGGGCTCCCAGGAAAAGGGGAGGGGCTGACTCGGAGGTGCGTGAGGGGATTTTGTTACCGGCGGGTGGCGGGAGGCTTTTGAGGCCTACTCGGGTCCGCCTCACCTCAGCGGGCCGCCTTCCCCGTACCCTCCGTTCCTTTGCCTGAGGAGCGGCGGAAGGAGCCCGGAGGCGGAGGAAAATAGCCCCGTCCCTAGATAATTGGGATGAATGGATGGAGGAGGCGGCGGCGGGGGCTGTGTTGTAGGCCCAGGGGTGGCCCCCTCAGGATGTGAAAGCCAGCCAGCGCGCCCAATTGGGGCTTTGTAAGTCGTAGCCCAGCGGCGTGTGAAGGGCCGCGAGTTTTCGCAATGTAGGGGGTTGGACTAGATGACCCTTGGGGGTCCCGCCCAGCTCCATGGTTCTGAGATTCCTCCTGCCGGCGCCACCCGCAGTCCTGGCGGTGTTGGCTGCCGGAGGCGGCGAAGCTTCTGAATATTAAGCAATTCATTCTAAATGCCGCCCTTCGAGGTCCGCAGGGCTGTTTGCAGGACACCAGGAAGGGGAGAGTCAAACTCGGGCTCAGACTCTTCCGTTCTGCTGAGAGATCTGAGCCCAAATACCATGTTTCCATCTAGCCCCGTGTTTCTCAGCCTGTGGGTCCGCCGATGTTGTTGGACTACAACTCCCATCATTCCTGACTACTGGTCATGCTGGCTAGGAATGATGGGAGTTGTAGTCCAACAACATCTGGGGATCCACAGGTTGAGAATTATGGCCTACTCTGACTTAGTAGATGCCTTTCCCAGTCTTACTAAGTGGGATGTCAACGAAGGATACAGGAACCTTTTATGTGATGAGTGTGTGTTCTACCACTGAGCTGTGCTTCCTGTTTAAATGTAAGCTCATGAAGCTTCCTCATATCTCATCAAACCCATCAGTTCATCTAGCACAATTGCTCCAACTGAGCTCCTTTCCAAAGTCTTGCTGATTAAAATCCTGTTATCTGGAAATGTCAGGGATTACACGTGGGAGGTGCGCTGTGATCAGACACTGCAATTATTGAACACATATAGAACAGCCTTGCCAAAGTTAAGCAAGGCTGGGACTGATGGTCCAGGGGGCAGCAACACGAGAATGGGCCTTTTTTGTAGTGGCTCTCCCCAGGGAGGCTTGCCTGGTACCTTCATTACAAATCTTTAGACACCAGGCAAAGACATTCTATTCTTGCAGGCCTTTGGCTAATTAAACAGTTTATGGCATTTTAAACTCGTGGTTTTTATATTGTAAGCTTCCCTGTGATCCTTGGGTGAAGGGCAGCATAGGAGCCAACTCCTAGGGCTTGAGGTCTCTTCAGCCCCCCCCCCCCCCCGGGCAGAGCTTAATGCTCGGGCAGGGGGAGGCAGAGAGCAGGCGGGGGCGGGGCTGGCACGTGTGGGGGGGGCAGGGTGCATGTCCTGGGGGCGGGGCCCAGCTACGATGGCACCCTGCTGGGATCGCGCTGCCAAAGGCGGGGTGCTCCTCTCCGCGCTCCTGTTCCTCCGCCAGTGCCCCCCATTAAAACATTTGAGGAGGCCGGGCATCTTGTGATTGTTAATGTTAATTTTATTCCAGTTGGCACCCCGAAGGGCTGTATAGAAATATAATAAACAATAATAATGTCTGGGCAACTGCATTTCTTAAGTTCCATGGAGGAAAGATGAAATATAAATAAAATAAAATTGACCAGATTTACACACCTTCAGGCAATACTGTAGCATTAAAGTGGGCCCAGACCATTCATTTAGCATAGTGATATATTTTGAACATTAAAAAGTCACAGTTTTTCAAAGTTAAATCTTGCCAGTTGTTGTTTCTAGAATGCTCAAAATAACCAGCTGCTATGCATAAAGAGATAATCTGCTTTAAAGGTGAAGTGACAGGCTGCAATACAAACCCCGTTTGCACTGGAAGGATTGGGCAATGAAGACCCAAACATGCCGGTCGATAGAAGTATTGCCAGTGGAATCCCCACAGCAGCCTGTGGAAAGCCTCAGAATCGGTAGTTCTGGGGAACTGGGAGGGACTGGTCTGGGATGCACTGGATCCTGAGCCAGCCCCTCAGCTATATTGTTTGATAGCATTGGCAACATGTCCAATGCAGGACTTTCTGCCCTGGTTGGTGTCAGTGACGGGGCAAAGATGGCAGCGGCCTGATTGGGATTTCAGTGATACACCACAATTCTATATTCTCTACTTAAAAGTGTTATCATTGAGTTCTCTGGAGCGTGTTCCCAGGGAAACATCCAGAAGGTTGCCGACTTTGGGCCATAATCCTTTGCATGCTTATTTGGGAGTAAATCCCATTGGATTCAGTGGTACCTTTGAATGATTGTGCATAGAATTGAACTATGCCAAGACTAAATTGCACCTAGTCAGTTGACAACGTTATTTGACCATTGTCAAATACAGTCATACCTTGGTTTTCGAACAGCTTAGTTCACAAACAACTTGGAACTCGAACGCCGCAAACCCAGAAGTAGGTGTTCTGGTTTGCGAACTTTGCCTTGGAAGCTGAACGTCCAGTGGTGTGGCTTCCGCAGCTTCCAGTTGACTGCAGGATGCTCCTGCAGCCAATCGGAAGCCACACCTTGGTTTCCGAATGTTTCTGAAGTTGAACGGACTTCCGGAATGCATTCTATTCGAAAGCCAAGATACGACTGTACTGCAAAGTGCTCCAGAAACAATACTTTGTAAATGGCAGGTGATCTTTTTGTTTCATGATTTTGCTGTTTATTAGCAAGTCTAGCTTGTGTTATTCCAGACTAAATGGGTAGACTGCAAAGCAAAGTGTTTGGTCTTTTATCATTTGGAGAAGGGAGGTTCTAAAGTAAGCCTAAGAAACTAATCTTATCCCATTATGTTGCTGACTGGCTGGGATTAGGATTGTGAAGGTGTCCCAGTGCAAAGACCATCACCACACCTGCAGAGAGCTTGGTGGACAAAAAACTGCTGCTGCCGCCAATATTCCCACAATTAATACCAAGCAAAGGGTCACAAAATGGACTGTTGCAGGGGCAGAGGCAGAAGCAACTGTGGGTTTGCCAGATCCAAACTGGTTCTGTTCCTCGAGGGGCTTAGATTTACATGATTTCTCTGCCTGCCTCCAAAATAGGAATTGGGAGGGGGAGTTTGAAAACACTGTCCTTGTTAATACTGTATTTTAGCAAAGTGACACCTTTAACTTAAGGAAGTGTGCTGTTGATTTCAGACTCTGAGATCCTGACATGTCTGATGAAATATGCCTCAAATAAAATTAAATGGCATCACTGTGGACTTCCCATTTCAACCCTACAAATGTCAGGAAGAATACATGTCTAAAGTGCTGGAATGCCTGCAAAAGGTAAGTAATCTGAGAAATCCCAGCCAGAGACCTCTGGAGGGCACTTCTTAAACAATGTTTAATAATGTGTGTCGAGAGTAGGAAATTTAGAGACTAGTCATGCTAACATCTCTGAAATAACGTAAGGTCCAGCATTTGGGATGTTTTGTTGGGAAAGAATAGATTACCCCTGGTTACCATTAGTTTGCTCTCAGACATAGTTGCAGTATTACACAATACATAATATATACAGGGGGGAAATGTGCATATATTATGCATAACACCATGAGATTGCTGACCAAGCCATTGTTTTATAAGTTTTGAATGTTTCAAATAGATGCAAAAGTACACTGGTTCAAAATGTCTTCTTGAAGTAAGTTTTATTCTATATATGTGTTCAGTTTTGGCTCCCATCGAATGAAATGCAGGCTTGGCATGGTGAATGACACAGTTGTTTGTTTTATAAGTATCTTTGGGAGGATTCAAAGACACCAGAGCATATATACTTGTGGCCTGCTTGGCTGTGAATATCATGGACAAAATTATTATTTTTAATTGGATAAGCTATTTTGGGATTTTCATGTTATATTGCATTTTTGAACTAAATTTGTTCATTATACAAAAGTATCTGCCTAATATTCACAGTTGTAAGTGGTAGTATAATGTTCTGATAAAGTAAATGAAGTATTATGAGCTTGGAAGTAACTGGGTCATTTCTCAACTCACTCATGAAAATGGGCAATGCAGTATAATGCTAAAAAAATAGCCATGTTGTAAAGATTACTATTGTTATAGAATATGAAATGCTGAGAGCATTCAGGAGAAGTGCTATTTAAATAATAAGAGTGCAATAATTTAGGCTGCAAATAATTTAGACTGCAATCTTTTGCGTGCTTACTCCAGTTTAAACTGCTGAACCTAGTAGTACCTACTTTCAAGTAAATTTGCATGAAACTGTTGATTTAGTTGATTTATTTAATTTTCATAAATCTGCAGGGGATAGAAACCAATAGTTCCAAAAGAAAAAAAAATATTCTTGAGTTTAGATGCACACATGTTACAGTAAGCATCTTAGAGGATGCTTCCATCTGCAATTATAAAATTTCAGGATGGTGTCACTCACCATGCTGCTATTATTAATCAAGAAACTGCAATGCTTGTTATTTAGAAGTAAGTCCTAAGGCAGCAAATCATATGCTAATGTACTGTTGTCAGTTTCCTGGGAGTAAGTGCCATGGAACTCTGTGGAACTGAATTTTGGATTAGGATTGTGTTTAGGATTGTATCTAAAGCTATGTTCATGTGCAAGTGGAATGAAGTCTGCTTGTGCCACAGGGTCTTGCTTTCCCCCACCCCCTTACATGCTCTCAAAATAATTTTCTGGCTGGTAGGTGAACCCTCTGGTGCACCTTCTAGGGAAATGTGAAAGTTTGTAGTGGGGAGGATAGGAAAGTGAAGTGACAGTGCACAAGGAGAAATGTACTTGTGTAATGTTCAGTTTCACTCCCAAATAAGTATTCTTTGTAACTTAAAATCTTGCATAAATTCCCGTTAGTTGAAATTGGCTAAATTCAAGACATTGACTTCCATTTCTTGTTTTTGAGATATATTTTTATACTGTTCAGAACAGATGCATTTTGAACATATGAAACCTGCTTAACACTTCCTGAAAAGAGGCTATTTTGCAAACCCTTCTCTTGTTAGTGCCAGACGTATCGCATTAGATCTGTTTGTAGAGAAGTGGGTAGGTGGGATTTCTCTTACACTTGCAGATGAGGGGAAAGAAGCAAATAAGTAGACCTTATGTTCATACAATCTGTTCTTAAGGCTTGAGAACTGAGACCATGCATTCCATTATCTCTTTTGCACGTCTGCAAGAAAATCTCTTAAGGAACCATTGTGCTCAGAGGCCATTTTGTAAATCTTTATTATTATCACTGTCCTACACAAGTGCCCTAACATCTGTTGGAGAAGCAAGGGGATTTGTTTGCAAAGTGACAAGCAGGCCTTGCCATTGCTGTAATGCTGTACATGAGTTTCAGGGACACTGCTCTGTAAAAAGTGTGCATAATTTCAAATGCAATTTATGAACAGAGTTTTTTTTCCTCTCCAAGAGTTCCAAATCACAGAGTTCCTGTTGTCAGACTTGGAACAATTGTTTAACTCTGCCTCAACACCAGTTTGAAGTGCCAACTAATTTAAACAGATCAATTAAAACTTGTAATCATAATATTAGTGCGTAAGGACTTTGGCATGTCTGCCCTAAAAACTGAGTCTGTCAACTTTCCAACCCTCTCACTGTCACCAACAATGCCTGTTCCTTTCTTAAGTACCGTATTTTTCGCCCTATAGGACGCACTTTTTCCCCTCCAAAAATGAAGGGGAAATGTGTGTGCGTCCTATGGGGCGAATGCAGGCTTTCGCTGAAGCCTGGAGAGCGAGAGGGGTCGGTGCGCACCGATCCCTCTCGCTCTCCAGGCTTCAGGAGAGCCCCACCGCCAGCCCCACAAGCTCGGGGGACAGTGGGGAGGTGGAACGCCGCCATCCCGCTGTCCCCCGACTTGGTTAGAAGGCTGGCGGGGGGGAGAAGCCTGCTCCTCCCCGTCGCCAGCCCCGCAAACTCGGGGGACAGCGGGGAGGCAGAACGCCGCCATCCTGCTGTCCCCCAACTTGGTTAGAAGGCTGGCGGGGGGGAGAAGCCTGCTCCTCCCCGTCGCCAGCCCTGCAAACTTGGGGGACAGCGGGGAGGCGCAGCGCGCCATCCCGCTGTCTCCCGACCTGGTTTGGAGGCTGGCGGAGGGCTTCCCCCGCCTCCGCCCCGCACCTGGGGGGGGGAATAATTTTTTTCCCCTTTATTTCCCCCCCCCAAAATCTAGGTGCGTCCTATGGGCTGGTGCATCCTATAGGGTGAAAAATACGGTATTTCAGTCAGAGATGGCTCTAGATTAGAATAACCTTTGGAGCTCTATCTGTCTTGCTACATTTTCCTTTTCCAGTCTGGTAAAACAAGAAGACAGAAAGAGAGCTTTGGTTGAAGTTTCTAACGTCATAGAATCAGAGTTGGAAGATACTTCTAGAACAGGCTGCTCACAGCAGGGTATTAAATTACTGTGGACATATAAATTCTCCAGGAAATGCTGAGTCAAATGATTTATGCAGATTAAGCTATACAGTGACAGTTAGAGAGAACATTGTTCTTGGTCAATTTAACTAAAACATACAGTCCATATGATATGTGTGCATCATCCTGTTTAGAGTGGTAACTTCTAGAGAAGACCAGGTGGCCAGCTGTGAGCCTCATTACTAGTTTGGTTCTCTCCTTAAGAGTTAGGTTAGCTGCCCTAGCTTTCCCAGTTATAGCTCACCTTGCCTAATCTGCTACCTAGTCCTTCCTAGCAACCTGTCTTCCATTCAGGCTGCCAGCATTTGTCATCCACTTATTTGTTTCTGTACAGACTCATGGGGAAAATGCTTGGCAGTTAGCTGGCAGTTAAAGTGAATGTCCAGTTTTCTAATTATTTATTTTATCTACTTGTTACCATTATTCAAGCAAGTGAATGGGATTTTAGAGAGTCCCACAGGCACGGGGAAGACACTATGCCTCCTTTGTGCATCTCTGGCTTGGCGGGACCACTTCAAAGATGCCATCTCTGCACAGAAGATTGCCCAACGACTGAATGGAGCAGAACTCTTCACTGACCGGCCAATGTCATCTTGGGGCAATGCTACCACAGGTGCTGATATCCCAGGTAAGTCCTGGGTCTTTTGGTTCTGTAAGCAATGTCATGTTCATTTGGAAGCCACAAGGTGGTATTACTAGGGTTCTTAGACTGGAGTGTTTGACCTTATAGAAGAAGTAGAAAATGAGATGTGACAAGCTGGCAAACATTGCGGTTGCCCAGCCTCAATAGAGTCCCACACTCTAGTTGTGGAAATTCAGGTGCATGGAAGGTGGGGAACATGTGAACCTAGGCAAACATTGCTGAGTGTTATGGTTAGTTTCTTTTCTTTATCAGAAGCAAGAGAAAAACTTGTGGACTCTGTTAATGTGATTATTTCATCAGTGTTGGAATTTGCTAATTATCAACCCAGTGGGACAAATAGTAAAGCATAATCAGTGATAAAAGACCACAGACTCAAGATCGTCTTTGAAACAAATCAGTTTATTGATGTACAGTGCTTCATTCAAATCGTATTATCTTCATATGGAAGTTAATGATATTCTAAACTTTGAATTATAACATAAAAATAAAGTAATGTAAGAGAGCAAGTTAACACTTAGAAAATAATATAGAGTAAGAATAGACTAAGATTATCATTGTAATTACATTGATAAAGGAGCTAATCAGAGTTTGTTTTTTCCCATTCTAACTGAAATTTTGGCCTTCTAACATCCTCCAGCTCATGTAGTTGCTAAAGTTTCATAGCATATCTGTATTTCTAGGTTTTCTACCACACTTAACATTTTGGAATAAAAGTCCTAGTTACTCAACCAGTGCAGGGAGGGAACATATAAAAAAGAGTGGGAAAGGCGGCGGCAGGAAGGAAAGAAAGAAGGAAGAGAGTGAGAATCAATTCTCTGAACACTTTTTATATGGATTAGAAACTGGGCCAGGAAGATTAGACTTCCCATCTTTTGTGTCAATTTGATTACTTGCGTAGGTGATCCCACATAAGATGTAGACCAGGGGTTGTCAACGTGGTCCCTGCCGCCCACTAGTGGGCGTTTCAGGATTCTAGGTGGGTGGGAGGGGGTTCTACGGCACAAGCTGAATCCTCCTTCCATCGATGGTAAGGAAATTTTACCATCAAGAAAGATGCATTAGTGGGCGGTAGGTATAAAAAGGTTGACTACCCCTGATGTAGACTCTGGATATCCATAATCTATGGGTGAACATTTTTTCACCAAGGTCAGGTGCACCCTGACACATTCCAGCAATTCCTTTGAAACATTTTAGCAGTATCTATAATTCCACATCAGGAGCAATCCCATTCCTCCTCTCTTTAGGATCTTATTATACTTGTGGTGTAATGTTGTATTTAACATTATCATTAGGTTTTCGTCACCCAAGATGCCATGGTCTCACATGACTGTCTCTGAAATTCAGTAAAAAAATTTCAAGGAGCCTTCACAAAGTGGCACAGTGTTGAAATCCATTTCATCCATGTTGATCCATCATGGTTGCTCTGCTGTAGTTGTTCACTCTTCAGGTCTGGCAGGGCCCAGATTTGCACTCTTCCTTACATTCTGATATTTTGGGGGCCTCTTTTCCTTACTAACTTCAGTATGTATAAATCAGGGCATTAGTTTTCACTGTCATGTGCAGATGCTTATCCTACAGGTGCTTCATAGAACGACTCTTAGCTAAAGTGATTAAAAATATGTACTCTTGTTCCTTATAGGTGAGTGGTTGAGTTGCAAAATCCGCCACTGCCTCCGCAGGCTGAGTTGTTACCATAGCACCAGAAGGGGAAAAGCAGACTGATGATATATTTAGCACTAAACAAGAACTAATTTTTTCCCTTTCTGCTTCCTCCCCCCAATCCCCTTCTCGCCTTCCCCACTTGACAGCTTATTACACTGACGTTCCTAAAATAATTTATGCCTCCAGAACTCATTCTCAGCTTACTCAGGCCATCAATGAATTAAAGAACACAGTTTACAGGTAAAGAAACTTAAGATATTGATGCTCGCTCCAGGTGTGAAACAACTTGGGATATATGTGTCTGGCAATTTTTGTTTTAGCTGTATTATTGTTGATAGAAATGTTTTTGAAAACACTAGTTATATAAGCTGTCACTGAGACATTTTGCAGCCATAGTAAAGGAGCTCTCCCTCAACACAGAGGGAGCTTTTGCATATAGCTTTTGCAAAATATACTGCCCGTTAATGCTGAAAAGCTTATGCATTATGCCCTGCTTCATTTCCATGTTTGAAATACTTGCCACAACCCAACCATGTATATCTTCAGTGTCTTGTTTTGATTAAAATGTCAGTGCTTGTGTCATCCCCCCCTATTTAATAGGCCAAAGGTATGTGTATTGGGTTCCAGAGAGCAGCTCTGCATCCACCCTGAAGTTAAAAGACAGGAAAATAACCATACACAGGTAAGAGCATAAAAGTAAAACCACACTGACTCTTGTTCATCCAGTGAGAGCTGTGGGCAGTGGGAATTTAAATCCAGGTCTCCCTCACTAATACTTTACCTACTTCATCCAGCCCATTTCTGGGCCCATTCCAAAGTTCTGGTCGGCTTTTCAAGCCCTCCACTGCTTAGGTAGATGGCCTTTTCTGGGTGTCCACCTGTGGCATCTCTGTGGTAGCAGCCCAATTATTGAATGATCTCACCTGAAAGGTCTGCATGAAAGAGAGGTCCTCCTGAAACCTACTTTGTCATTTTGGTGCCAGATAAAGACATTTGTATGTTCTCGGGCCTTTCAGTCATAAGTTTAAATCCTGCTGATTGTTTTTGTTTTGCAACCTTTAAACTCTTTTTCTTTGGGTGACTATTTGGATATTTTGGTTTGTTTAAAGTAAACCAAAAACCATTTTTCTTTGGGGGAGGGGGCAAAAGCAGGTTGCAGTTGGAGAATCAATAATAGATATGAAATAGATCGCTATGGAGCAGTCAAGTTACATGGCTTTTGTTATATGAATTCTAGCATACTCTCTGCTGCTTAGTAGGGACGGATATTTTTCCCTGTTCATTGTCCAGCAAAGCTTTTCTGGAAATTGCCAAGTAACAGCACTGTCTACTTGAACATTGGAGAGCTTGCAGAACCATTTCCCTCAAATCCAGTTATCATATGTTGCCCTCTATTGAGAGCTTCTTGTGGTAGTGATTTATATTGTGCCAGTAATGTACATGGTATTTTAAAGAGTTCCATAAATTAAGTAGATGGGTCCCTGCTGCAAGGAACTTACAATCTAAATCCCAAGGGAAATAAGGGGTGAATAGGAGCAAGTGCAATTATACACTTATTTGGGCTTCATTATGTTATGCACCAAACTGGAATTTATATTGTTTTGCAGATCCACATGTGCCGTATGAAGATAACAACTCGCACGTGTCATTTCTATAACAATGTGGAAGGTATGAATAAATGTTTGTGAAAGTAATTCTCAGTTTGGGAGTCTGGTGATTGATGTTGGGCCAGTTTTATATCAGTCTTCCTGTTGACTACTTGCATGTAACTGTTTCTTCCGGGCAAAACTGCCAGCCTCTGTTGTTCATTTTGGTTAGGTTTGTAAGTATCATTAACTAGTTTAGATTGTACAACCCATACTTGTCTGTGCGCTTGTGAATACTTTCCTTTCAGGTAGATATTGGCTAATTTAGTTCTCAAATTGCTGGCTGTGGAAACTGGATTCCCACCTAAGAAATTGACCTAAGAGGTTCAGATGTGGCAATTTCCTGTGTTCAGTGGGCTACATTCCAGCTAGGCAAAATGTAAAGGTTTCTAAATTTACCCCCATGCACACTTCTCCATTACCCATTTAGGCAGACAATAGGTATAATTGTAGCCAGGTAAAAGCACACAAGAAGAGTGCAGACCAGATGAGCGAATTAACCTGGTGAGGACGTGTGGGAAAAGTCCCAAGGGTGAATAGAAGCACTTACAGAAGGCTGCATTTCGGCCCTGGGCCTGAGGTTCCCCATCCCCTACATTGCGGAAGGAACACTACTGAAAAGCTCTCCACCATGCCACCATAGCGCTAGTCCACAAGAATTCAGTTATAAGTGCAGATGCTGCAATATCTAAAGCGAGACTTCTCAAACATAGTGCTGTTTTGATATAAGATGCAGAAGGGCTGAAGCTCAGTGGGAAAGTACATCATTTACATGCAGAAGGTCTGAGGTTTAATCCCTAGCAACCCCAAGGAGATGGGGCTGGGAAAGTCTCCTTTGAAACCCTGCAAGCCATTGCCAGTCAGTGTGGATGATACTGAAATAGATGAACCAAAGATCTGACTCCGTATAAGGCAGCTTGCTAGATTGCTAAAAAGTAGCTGTGCAATGAGGTACCATTATCCCAAAGGTTTTTGAAATTCTCATCCTGTCAGAAAGTCTCACTTATATTGAATTCTTATTCAGTATATAAACTTCACTTGGAAGACAGCTTCCAAGAAGTAAAGCTGGGGGAACCAGGCAAAGGGCCTTCTTGGTGGTGGCGCCCATCTCCCATCAGATGTCAAGGAGATGAGTAACTATATTACATTCATGAGACATCTGAAGGCAGCCCTGTATAGGGAAGCTTTTTAAGATTTAATGTTTTACTATGTTTTTATATATGCTGGAAGCTGCCCAGAGTGGCTGGGGCAACCCAGTCAGCTGGGTAGGGTACAAATAATAAATTATCACCATCGTCATCATTTTAACAGTGTTGAAGTTCAAACTTATGCCTCTAGGTAGTCAGCTGGTTTTAGAAAGCCACTTACTATTATACCATGCACATTCAGCTATCGTTGGCATTATGTGAAGTGACCTGCTTGCACATTCAGAGACAATAAGGCCTAGGAAGGTAAAAGACTGCCCCCCTGTATAAGGAATACTAAGAGCCCAGAATTTGGGGACCATAGAAAGTGGCACTGATCAATAATTTCAGGTTAAAATCTCTCTCTCTCTCTCTCTCTCTCTCTCTCTCTCTCACACACACACACACACACACAAAGACACATACATAATGGGTGTGGGGAGAGAGATGGTGCCATCCATGAGCATAGCTTGCAGAGTGTGTCATCTGCATATAATGTGGTATCTTATGAGAAACATAATTAAGAACTAAATCAACAGATGTTCAGATATTTTTGGAACCTTTCCTGGAATGTGGAAGCAGCAGGCTCTTATGTTCATATAATCATGTAAGTTAAAGATAGAAGGAGCAATCCATCAAGTGCTGTTGATGCGCAACCTGCATTAATTTTAAATGTGATTTGTGCAGGAAATGGGCAGAGGTTGCTTAGCAGCAGTGTTGGGTGGTTGCACCCAGAAAATGATAATTAAGGGTGCACATGAAAGTATATAATTTAAGCAGCAGGGTCATCGTGGAATCGTACTCACTACATTTTGTTCACAAGTAGAGTTCAGGGGAAATGCTTCTGCTTTCTGCTAGGTTGCAGCAGAAGTCAGCTGTGCACTACACAAATTAGCTGGTGCCTCTGATGTCATGAATCCATGTCTTGCCCCATTGCAGGCAGGTTTATTTATTTTTTATTAAAAGGGAGGGAAAGGACTTGCAGGTTTGCTTGTTTTAGGGCTGCAGTATTAATTGATTCATCAAATTAATAAATTAAAATGGTAGAACTCAATTAAAATTTTAGGCCTGATTAATTGGGCATTGCCACTATATCATCCAATCTTCTATTAAACCCCCAAGGGCATCACCCTTTCTCTTCTGCTCAGCTAGGCACTGCTTCTAGTGGAAAATAGGATATCATCCCAGAGCCCCCCTATGATGATGAAGGGGCCTCCAGAATGACATAGCATTCCTCACTGAGAAGAGTGTTTGGTGTAGGACGAGGCTTCTCTCCCCCAGTCTAAATATGCCCAGTTCTTTCAAACTTTCTTGATAGGACCTGCTTTCCATAACCCTAACCACCTAAGGCAGGGGTTGGCAAGGTTTATCTTGCCTGGGCTGAATCGGTCCTGTAGGGATCCCTCCATGGGCCGGATCGTGCGCGTGTGTGAGCGTGCACGCCTACGATTTTTGGTGTGTGCGCGCCCGCAGTTTTCAGCGTCTGCACAGACGCAATTTCCGGCACCATGGAAGTGAGTCCCTGCACCGCGCCGGTTTAGCTCAAGTGGGCAACTCGGTTCGGGGGCTGCTCGTGGGCCGGTCAAACGACCTCCGCGGGCCGCTTCTGGCCCATGGGCCTTAAGTTGGTGACCCCTGACCTAAGGCTACAATCTGGGGAATTTGGATTGGGCAGAGGTGTCCTTTGCCCAGCCCTTCTGGCCACCCAGCTCTGGAGTGATGCCAACATTTCTCTGCTAGTGTGGAATTCAGCATTCTACCTGCTGAATGGGTGGGCAGGCCCAAAATGGGATGTTCAAGGAGCCGGGAATAGATGAGCCAGCCTGGGATCTGCTGGAATATGCTAACTCCTCTTTTCTTTTCTATAGAGAAGAGCACTGAAAAAGACCTGATCAGCTCCATCTTGGATATTGAAGACCTGGTTAAAAATGGGAACAAGCACAGGTCACAATTCCTCTTCACTTTCTCTTTCTTTATGCCTCTCCCCATATGAACCAACATGGACCCTATGTTCATCATCTTAGGCCCGTGTTCATGTGCCTCCTTCATGAGAAATCCAGAGGGTGGCAACATGAGAACGAGCCTTTTTTGCAGTGACTCACCTTTTGTGGAATTCTCTCCCCAGGAAAGTTGCTGGCTGCCTTCATTGCATATTTTAGGTGCCAGGCAAAACACTTTCTCTATAGCCAGGTCCTTGGCTGATTAACATGTTATGGCCTTTTAAATGAGTTTGGGGGGAGTTATTAGTTGGTTTTTGTTTTATGAAGTTTGTGTTCTTATGTTGTGAAATGCCCTGTGATTTTCAGATGAAGGACAGTATACAAATTTCATTAACAAACAATTATTAATAATATTAGCAGTATATTCTCAATAGATAATTGAATTAGTGCTGAACTGAAATGAGGAAAGGATTCAGTTTTGACAGTCTTTCAAAATTCAGTTGTTGTGCACAGTAAATTTGTGCATGTATTTGTATATAGGAAATGTATATGTGCATGTATATAGGAAAATATGGGAAACTTTTCTAGTATATTAGGAAAATGCTCTTTAAATATGAAGTGCTCAAACAATTTCATATAGTCTGTGTTGGTAATCCATACACCAAACCTGTGAACATAGGGATAGGCTTAGACTCAGATGTAGTGGTTTGATTTAATAACGCCCAGTGAGTTCATGACTAGGCTGAAATTTGAAGTGGGGATATTGTCATTTGTCGCTCACACCTTCAACCACCATGCCATGCAAGTTGTTGTAGGATCTTTCTTTGAATAGAAAGCGCTGGCTGCATTCACTTACATCTACATACTTGATTATTGCACAAAGAGTCAACCTAAATGTTTTATTTGTTGGTTAAATTTATATCTTACCCTTCCTTCCAAAGGAGCATTAATCAATCATAAATAAAATCGGTATTGCAGAATTTAGAAATTCATTAAAGAATGGCATGGAAAAAGAAAAACCCACTGTTATATGAAATTACTGCTTCATTTAGTCATAGAAAGATTAGGGACTGAATTGCATTCCTTTGGCTAGGGAATTCAAAATCTCCAGTGCAAGTCTGTGTAAATACCAAGACATCTATGACTAATTATCAAATGAGTGCTGTTGGATCTATACCACTGTAGCTGATGTTCATACACTGATAAGCTCATCAGGTGGGAGATAATTCCAAATCTCCCTTTTCTATACTTTCTAAATCATGAACAATCCATCTTTGTAAGCATAAGCCCCATGACACATCTAATTAAGTAAACAGATATTTGCTTAATGGGCTATAAAGCTGTGATTGAAAAATGACTACAAGATAAGCACCCGCGCCCCCCGCCCCTTGTGTAATGCTTTATCAAGGTTCTTTTTCTCTTTTACAGTTTATTTTCTTGGTTGAAGCGCTGTTTTTTAAAAATATTATTACTGTTATTATTATTATTATTATTATTATTATTATTCCCCAGCCACTCTGGGCGGCTCCCAACAGAATTAAAAGCACAATAAAAGATCAAACATTAAAAACCTCTCTGAACATGGCTGCCTTCAGATGGCTTCTAAAAGCCAGATAGTTGTTTATTTCCTTGACATCTGATGAGAGGGCATTCCATAGGGCGGGCACCACTACTGAGAAGTTCCTCTGCCTGGTTCCCTGTAACCTCCCTTCTCGCAGGAAGGGAACTGCCAGAAGGCCATCAAAGCTGGACTATGTCAGTGTAAAAGTTGAATGCCTTAAATCTGGGATAGGCAAACTCGGCCCTCCAGATGTTTTGGGACTACAACTCACATCATCCCTAGCTAACAGGACCAGTGGTCAGGGATGATGGGAATTGTAGTTCCAAAACATCTGGAGGGCCAGGTTTGCCTATGCCTGCCTTAAATGCTAAGCTTACTAGCAGCCTCTGCACCACCACCTTCTTTTATCTCGCTGCATTTGCAGGGTCAAGGATTTATTCCCAGCATTCTCTTTTATCAAATGAGAGAGGAGACGGGCCCATGTAAACCCACCAAACCATCTGCCTTTAAGACTAGCCCATTAAGAAGCTGACAAGAAACCCCCGAGAATCTTAATAAATGACTGTGGAAAGCATGTTGGTTGTCTTGTAGCACTGTGTACATTTCCCTCCCTCTCTCTTTAAACAGAGTTTGCCCTTACTATCTTTCTCGGAGTTTGAAGCAGCAGGCAGACATCATTTTTATGCCTTACAACTATTTACTGGACCCAAAGGTATGTAGGGTATTATTTTAAAATTCAAGGGTGTTTTACTGAATATTTTAAGAGGATTTTGCTGGATATGCCAGTAAATTGCTTAATTAACTCATTACAGGAAACAATACAGATGCTAAATGCTTATCACATAAGGCAGAAATACATATATATACATGGTGATTAAACCCAAAAAATTAATTTGTGTTTCTTTTATTTTAACATATTTCCTTCTCAGAAAGGGAGATAGTTTTGTTCACTAGTTTTTTTGTTGGAACTCATCATGTAGCATTTCTTTCTTTCTTTCTTTCTTTCTTTCATCCTTCCAAATATGTTGAATATTGTTTGGTTTGTTGAGCTTCCCTGCTGGGCTAGGCATACAATGGAGAACTTCAGTTGCTTTTCTTTGTTTTCATCATAGAAACTTTCCCAGGTAATTTCTCCCTTCAGTATAACAAATTCAAATCACAGGAGTCTTTGCATATCTCCCTGTACTAACAAGGCTAGTTTAGTGGCGGTGTGACAGGCAAATTAGAGCCATGTGGTTCTGGATCCACCTTGAATATGGTGCTATATACTGAGTATTAGAAGCCTCTTTGAGATCTGCTTTTAGAAAAAACTGCTGTGTAGCTTTTATTCTCCCTTACCCCCTTCTTTTGAGGGCTAAAAACCTTTTCTTTAATCATTACTGCAGGTTACCAGGATTCGAGTGTCCTGTACTGGGTGGATAATAGTGAAATCCCAGTACAGGTCACCATTTTGGGATTGTAGCAATTCAGATTTATGGATCATTTTCTAGTTATGAGGTTGATTGAATAATAGGGGTTTCTGATGTGCTGACAAAGCTGTTTCACTGTTTTTCTTTGTGAAATATGCACTGAAGAAGCAAAATGACATGCTGCTTTGGTTTATTGGCATTAACTGTTCCTCAAACACGTGTGTGCAACAGATAACACCCACACACAACTTCCTGCTTGTTGTGGGATTTTAAAGGATATTTTGATGGATTGCCTTACTGTATGTTACTGGTTTTGATTGTACTTGCTGTAATTTTTTTTAGATACTGTTGTGCACCACCTTTAGATGTCTGCAAAACAGGCATCATATAAAATATTTAATAAATAATAGGTTCGCAAGGAACACCTGTGTGAGTGTCATTGAAATGGAATTTTACAGGGCCATGTTGCACTTCTTTCATTGGGCCATGATAGACTGCTTTGTGATGACAGACATTTAAGGGTGGTGCAAATAGTTGTAAACAAGTTGTCCCTGCCATCCTGCCTCACATATCTCCCACTTTTTAAAAAAAAAATAGAGTCGAAGAGCTCACAACTTGGACTTGAAGGGGGCTGTAGTGATACTTGATGAAGCTCACAATGTGGTAAGAAAAGATGCATCTGGCTTCTCTCCATTTTTAACAGGCAAAGAGCCTTGTAGGTATGTTTTCATATAAGAATTCAAGTAATCTGTGACTATTTGTTCCCTCAATAAGTATTGAGCAACTGAAATGATAGGTCACTGGTGTTATTTTTAAAAGAATACTCTCTTCATTTGGTCCTTTGATAATGTTGGCTTCCTAGAGCAGGAATTGTCCTGACAGACAGACCCAAAGTGTGTGCATAGCTGATGTGGTTAACAGTGTACACTACAAGTGTAACTTTTTGTCTACACCCATAGGAAAAGATATGTGAAGAGTTGGCATCGTTTGACTTGACACCCTATGACTTAGCTTCAGCTGTGGATGCCATTAACATAGTTCTGGAAGAACAAGTGAAAAACGTTCAGCAGAATGAAATCAACTCTGAATTCAATGTGGAGCCTGCCGGTTCAGGTAGATTGCCTGTATAGGGCAGTGATTTCTTGAATGCAACAAGAGATTCATTGGGCTGCATGCTTTTAGAAATTACTCTTAGGTTCTGCAAAATCAGTCTTCAGAACGTGGATTTTGGTTGCTAGGCAGTTGACGTATTAGGATTATGGCTGGCAACTCTTCTGTGAAAACCCCAATGAAAGAAAGATACTTGTGCAAGAACATGAAAATCTTTTGTGCAGCTGTGTATTAATGCCAGTGAGGCTTTTGCAAGAGTTTTTTCAGTGCATTCATTGAGCTTGTTTGAAGGGATGTGTGTTTTGCATGCCAAGGCAAATCCAGTATAAATTAGGTACTTAAAAGCAAATTGTTTAAATGGCGCTTTTGATATTTGTGCTTTGGATTTCTGGATTTTGGTTTGGAGAATTGGTCAAGGAGAGAAATGAAGAGCATATAAAGCCTGCAGGATAGCCATCAGAATACTTTGCAGCCTTCCTGGCCTCCTCTCTTCCACTCATTCACAATCAAAGTCCAATAAGCATTTAACAGGCAGTGCATGTACATTGCACTTGGAAAGGTACATTAGTGTACAATCTAAATATTGAGATTTATACAGGATGGGTTGGGGGAAGAGACATTGATACAGTATTGCACTGGAAACTGCCTGAATAAGAATTCTTTCTGAAACAGGATTAAACATGGAGCTTGAAGACATTGCAAAGATAAAGCGTAAGTACAATTATTAGATTCATATTTTGTCTATAGAGAAGTTTTTTAAAAAAATGTTTTGGCAGTGGGTGGCTTTCAGTTTAGCCAAGACGATCATGTAGCTGATTACTCTCTCTGTTGCACAGATATTCCAAATTTTGTACTTTATGCACCTCTTTGGTGCAGTAAATTAAAGATCTGTCAACGTAGGTAGTATGTGAAAAACTGAGTGCCTTGAACAATACTCAAAGAGACTAGAGGAACATTTATTAAGGGTTGTGTGCGTGAGGGGAATGCACAGTATCCCTTGTGGAAGCAAATTCCTAATCACTTTGGTTTGAGAGAAACATACATGGTGGATGAGAAATGCTAGCTAATTTACTGACAACTTGTTGAATACTGAAGGATATTTCATGTTTATGCATTTGGCTGGCAAGCTACTACTCATTTGCATTTTTTAATTGCCTGTAAACAATGTAATTTGCCTGTCATTTTTATGATATTGGCATATGGCAGATCATTGGTTGACTGGATTCTACTTATCTTACTCAGAAAGTATTACCCCCAAATGTGAAAATCTTACTTCAGCCCTAGAAAAAGTCCTTTGCTTTAGTTCTTTAGTTCTTTTTAAAAGTTATGTCCTGCTTTTCAGTAACAAGCCCACTGAGGTGGCCTGTTGTGTAAATGTGGCAATGCAACCTCCCCACCCTGAGGGAGTGTGTCACTTAGAAGGAGCCCTTTTCTTGTTGGGAAGGCAGTGAGAGAGTGCCTGTGTTGCAGTCTCGTCTGAGGAGAAAGAGCAGGATAATTTGGTTATATGCCAGCTGCATAAAATTCCTCCTCTTCCTCTGTTTGCCTTCAAGAGATTCTTCTTCAGCTAGAAAACGTTATAGATGCTGTCGAGCTGCCACCAAGTGGAAGTGGACTCACTAAGGATGGAAGGTATGTTTCAGGAGATACAAAGCGTGTGCCAAGTTGGCATTTCTTGTTTTTGTGTGCCTGCCCATAGACTCATAAAATTGCTTTGTTGCTTGTTTTATAGTGTAGGGTGTTTCCTACACTAGGGTGTAGGGTGTTTTGTTGCTTGTTTTATAGTGTAGGGTGTGGCTGCTGGAAATTGTAGCTGCAAAGAGGTTGCTTGATGAAGCAGGACGAAGGGTCAGACTGGGACACTCAGTTCAAACCCTTGCTTGCCTGTGAAGCTCACTGGGTGTCCCGTCAGGTCAAGTAGCACATTATAATGTTCAGACTAGTAAGCAGTGAAGCTCATTTGGAGGCCTTGGGGTACCTCCTACCTCTCTGCTTAACGTATTCTACAATATAATAATTATATTATTATAATATTATAATAATACGGAATGAATGAGCCATTTACGCCACCTTGAATGATAAGTGGGATATAAATATAATAAATTAATGAAATATTGTTTAGCCTGCCCTATCTCACAGGTTGGTTTGGGAGGATAAAATGTCCAGAGGATACACTATTGGGGGAAGTGTTGATTACAAATACCAAATAAAACAAATCACTCGACTTTCATCAAGCCACTGCATTTCACATTTTCAAAAACAGATACTATTTTTTAAAAGAAGGTTTCTAGCCCTCATGTTTATGGAGGCTCATCAAGCTTTGGTAGGAGGTGGTGGATGGTATTCAACTAAGGTTAAAGGTGAAGGTACCCCTGACTGTTAGGTCCAGTTGCGGACGACTCTGGGGTTGCACGCTCATCTCGCTCTATAGGCCGAGGGAGCCGGCGTTTGTCCGTAGACAGCTTTCAGGTCATGTGGCTGGCATGACTAAGCCGCTTCTGGCGAAACCAGAGCAGTGCATGGAAACATTTAACTTCCCGCCAGAGCGGTACCTATTTATCTACTTGCACTTGACGTGCTTTCAAACTGCTAGGTGGGCAGGAGCTGGGACCGAACAATGGGAGCTCACCCCATCGCGGGGATTCAAACTAGTGGTACCTCAGGTTAAGTACTTAATTCGTTCTGGAGGTCTGTTCTTAACCTGAAACTGTTCTTAACCTGAAGCACCACTTTAGCTAATGGGGCCTCCTGCTGCTGCCGTGCTGCCGGAGCCCGATTTCTGTTCTTATCCTGAAGCAAAGTTCTTAACCTGAAGCACTATTTCTGGGTTAGCGGAGTCTGTAACCTGAAGCGTATGTAACCTGAAGCATATGTAACCCGAGGTACCACTGTACTGTTAAGTAAAACATATTTGATTACCACTCTCTGTTACAGAATAGGTTCTCCATACTTACAGGGAGGAATTCAACATAGCATTAGGCAGATTGCTCTTTCAGTGCAAGCTTTTCTGCTTGTCTGATGGAATGATCTGCCTTTTCCGGGGTTGATTCTGAGTAGTTCTTCTAACTCTATATACATAATGTTTATATGTGCTAAGAACCTTAGAATACCTTAGTGAGAAATGGAGTGAGACTGTTTTGTATTTTGTACTTTGGTTAGCTGCTAGGATAAGACTCAGTATTTTGTTTATGTTTCTTCTTGAAATTACAGCTATATATTTGACCTGTTTGAAAAGGTCCAAATCACATCCCAAACCCAAGCATCTCTCCTTGAGTCACTGGAACAAATCCTACAGTATTTAGCAGGCCGTAAGTATACACATTATACTTTGGAAAAATAGGGGGTGGGGAGAAAGTTTGAAAGCAGGGTATAATATTGTGAGAGTGCACAGCATTGCATGAGCCCAAGAAACAGACCTGAAAATAGTTAAGGTACATCTAGAGAAAATGAAACAAGGCAGGAGACAACTAGAATACAGGTGAGAGATTCATGGTGAATATGATTGAACACAAGAACTCATTATGAAACCTATTCTGTATGGTGGGGATGGTGAATAAGCAACAGACGTCCATGGGGAAAGATCCTAGAATCTTCAGAGGCATCTTATGATAAGTTTGCTAAACATTTTGAGTATACAATTTTGTTTGTCAATTGTTTTGAGTTTACTTTTGTGAAAAAGAAGAAAAGTGACTAATAAATGTAATAAATAAGAATATGTAATAAAATTGCTTATATCTTCTCTGACCTTGATGCCTCATTTGTAACAGTGTTTGGGGCTATTACCAGAATGCCATCAGGGCCAAGTTCGTGGGATGAGTTTCAGTTGATGTGTCCTGAGGATGTAGACGGAGTACTCTGTGGCTGATCTTTTGTGTCCTTCCCCCTTGCCCATGATGGCTAATTATTTCTAGTAAAAGGAGATTGAGTCCAGGAAGCACAGTGGTACCTCTGAATGTGAACGGGATCTGTTCCGGAGCCCCGTTCGCATCCTGAAGCGAACGCAACCTGCGCGGATCGCGATTCACCGCTTCTGTGCATTCGTGTGACGTCATTTTGAGCGTCTGTGTGAGCGGCGAAACCCGGAAGTAACATTTTCAGTTACTTCCAGGTCACCGCGGAATGCAACCCGAAAAAGCTCAACCTGAAGCAACTTCAACTTGAGGTATGACTGTAATTAATGCCTGATTTGCCCCTATTGGAATTCATTTTGTTAGTTTTGGCCAGGGCACTGTAACAGATGCCAGAATCTTTGCCCAGTGCCTCCATGCCTACAACACAGTGTTCATAAATGGATTTTTGATGATTGTGAGAAAAGTCATGCAAAAATGTTACAATATTCTCCCCTGCCTTTAGGTACTGGCATATTCATCAATACAGCTGGGTTGCATAAATTTACAGACATAATTCAGGTAAATATATGTTGCCTCCTCTTTTGTAGTTTCAAAGACTGAAAGGCACTATGGAGAGAGTTATAAATTCAGTAATAACATTCCAAGTGAGCTTTTCATGTCATTCTGTGAATATCTTCATAATGCACATTATGTAAACCTGGGGCAAGTGGGTAATTAGAGAACAGGACGGTTAAAATCACTTTACAGAATTCTGCTGCACTCTCATGTTCAACCTGCTCAGGTCCGAAGCTGTGATAAGGTAGGGTGGTTGGTTGTGTTTGTGTAAGTTTATTATGGTGAAGGAAAAAGAAATTTTGCTTGATGGTGGCAGCAATCAAAGCTGTGGTCATTTCCACTTGGTATTCTTTGTCTTTGAAGAGAGGCTTTGAATGCCAATTTACTGTACACAATGGAATGAGAGTTCTAAGGGATGTGGTCTGCATTTTTCAGTTTAGAAACTGTAGCATATTTGTGATTCACTGGAACATATCTGGGAGAGATTTAAGGAGACCAGATTGAGCTGGTGCAGTGTAAACCGGGCATAGACCACTGGTCATTTTAGCTAGGGATGATGGAAGTTGTAGTCCCAAAACATGGAGGGCCGAGTTTTCCTGTGCCTGGTGTAAACCTTTCCTGCAGATCAAGAACAAATCCTATGGGAATCCTATCCGTTAGACACAGTAACCTCTATGTTTGCTTTGAGCACTGGATGGGTCTTGACAGGAAATGCTGGTGAGGGTGAGCAGGATGGTGATAGAGTCTGGGGAAAAAAGAGCAGTAGAAAAATCTGGGTATCTTTAGGCTGGAGATGAGGAGGAGGATGACCAGGAAATTGACAGTGTCTAAAACCAAGAGGTTAGGTATGTTTAGTCTGCAGAAGAAAAAATTAAAGGGAGATGCATTTGCTTGTGGTATTTCCACATAGGTTTTCATTTCAAATCTTCTAGATTCCAGACAAGTCATTATCCATTGCAGTTATAGGAAATTGCAATGATAGGAAATGAACTAAGACTTATTTAACTTCTTCATAAACTTAATGCAAATGAGTTAATTTTTTTGTACATGGATTAAGTTTTGATAGCCTTAATTTTGCTCTTTCTACAGTGCCATGAAGTATATGTAAGAGTACTGAGAAACCTTTTGCTCCTCAGGGTACCATCCTTTCAGATTGCTTAAACTTGCTTCATATTAATACCTTATAATATAGGAAATGTAAATCTATCCAAACTGTTTTATCCAGAATATTAGCAGTGATTTTTGGCCATTTCCCCTACCACAAAACATCCAACAGCATCTCCTGACCAGCTACCAGTAATAATGAAATAAACTGTTTTTTTAGAAACAGAATTGTAGGCCATTCGTTTTTATTAACTTCTTGAGCTCTCTGATGTAGTTCTTTTAACTTCCACTAGGGGGCGATCACTCTCCAAGCTATAATATATACTGACTTTTCTGTGTATAAGACTAGGTTTTTTTACTTTTAAAAAGGGTTAAAAATCTGGGGGCATCTTATACACGAATAGTGCATATGCCCATTTTCTAAATTTGGAGTCCCTAAAAGTAGGGTGCATCTTATACATGGGGGCACAGAAAAATACAGTACTTTTTAAAGATATTCGGATAGTAGGGCAGCTATAGTTATTCTAATAAAACACATCATATTGTCATTGTATCTCTTTATATGTGCATTGGTGTTTACACATTTGTAAAGTACATTTGTTGATTAATTAGGCATGATTATATGCCAGTTAAATTATATATGAGTGAGGCGGTTTGGCAAGCTCGGGCAGGGCAGAGTGAGTTGGGGGAGGGCCGTGCCCCCCCTAGTAATACTAAAGTAAAGGTAAAGGTACCCCTGACCGTTAGGTCAGTTGCGGATGACTCTGGGGTTGCGGTGCTCATCTCGCTTTACTGGCCGAGGGAGCCGGCGTTTGTCCGCAGACAGCTTCCGGGTCATGTGGCCAGCATGACTAAGCTGCTTCTGGCAGCGCACGGAAACACCGTTTACCTTCCCGCCGGAGCGGTACCTATTTATCTACTTGCACTTTGACGTGCTTTCAAACTGCTAGGTGGGCAGGAGCAGGGACTGAACAACAGGAGCTCACCCCGTCGCGGCGATTCAAACTGCCGACCTTCTGATTGGCAAGCCCTAGGCTCTGTGGTTTAGACCACAGGGCCACCTATGCTAGTAATACTATAAGAAGGTAAAAAGAGCCTGGCTGCTGGATCAGGCCAATGGCGCATCTATTCCAGCATCCTGTTTTCACAGTGGCCAACCAGATGCCTTAATGGGAAACCAGAAGCAGGACCCAAGCACAAGAGCACTCTCACCGCCTGTGGTTTCCAGTAACTGATATTCAGAAGCATTAAGCCTCCAGCCGTGGAGACAGAGCACAGCCACCATGGCTAGAAACCACTGATAGCCTTCTCCATGAATTTGTCTAATTCGCTCTTAAAACCAACTAAGTTGATGGCCATCAATGCCTGCTGCGGGAGCAAGTTACATGGTTTTTACTATGTACTGCATGAATAAGTCCTTCTTTTTGTCCAGAGCGCTGTATAAGATACACCATTCATCTCTTATACACCAATATCTTGTTCCCCCTTAGCTGCCTTTTTTCCTAAACTGAAAAGTGGCTATTTATGTCTACTCAGAAGTAAGCCTGTGGAACCCTAGGAGTAATCGTTGGCAAAGTGAGAACTAAAACGCCCACAAATTGCCCTTCTGCACACTGTTACCCTTTACAGTGGTACCTCTGGATGCGAATGGGATCTGTTCTGCAGCCCTGCTCGCATCCTGAAGTGAACGCAACGCATGTCTGCGCGGGTTGCAACTCGCCGCATCTGCGCATGTGCGTGGCGTCATTTTGAGCGTCTGCGCATGTGCGAGCGGCGAGACTCGGAAGTAACACATTCCATTACTTCCAGGTCGCTGTGGAGCGTAACCTGAAAACGCTCAACCTGAAGCATATTTAGCCCAAGGTATGACTGTTCTGAGCTTTCAGCCTGGTGATAGAGTTGGAAGCCTTGCAAAGGTGTTGCGGATAACCAGCAGAAATCCTTTTTTATTTTGAAATTATTTTGTTTTTATGATGAAGCCATTCAGAAGCATGCTGAATCTTATTTACCTTGCTTGAAAGGCATGGTGGGTTTTCCCTCCCCATCTTACATTTTCTCCCATCTTGTTTCCTAGACTGTTTTTAATTTCCGTCCATCAGAAGGCACGTCTAGTTCCATCCTGGGCTGCTCGGTCTCAAAGTATTATAAGGTATGTTGTGCTGTTCTGAGGCTGATTTCCTACTTTAGCTTGCCTGTGGTGCTGAAAATAGGGACACGGGTGGCGCTGTGGTCTAAACCACAGAGCCTAGGGCTTGCCAGTCAGAAGGTCGGCGGTTCGAATCCCCGCAACGGGGTGAGCTCCTATTGCTCGGTCCCAGAACCTAGCAGTTCAAAAGCACATCAAAGTGCAAGTAGATAAATAGGTACCGCTTCAGCGGGAAGGTAAACAGCATTTCCGTGCGCTGCTCTGGCTCATCAGAAGTGGCTTAGTCATGCTGGCCACATGACCCAGAAGCTGTATGCTGGCTCCCTCGGCCTGTAAAGCGAGATGAACGCCACAACCCCAGAGTCGTCCGCAACTGGATCTAACGGTCAGGGGTCACTTTACCTTTATGGTGCTGAAAAGTCAAAAGATTTTAGTTTTTTATAGGCTTAGCAATAAATGGTTGAATTAAGTTTGAGGAAAAAGAGGGCTGCATGAGTTTACCATAGTATAATTAGTGACTTTATGCCTTTTCAGTTGTAAGATACTGCAAAAGAGTAAGTTAATACCTTTTCAGAATTTACTCAGTTCCTTGTTCAAACTGCATAGGCCCACTTACAACATGTTGCCTGCTAGTAGAAGCTGGTTCTGTTCATTGCTCCCTTGCAAACTTCATTGTGGTGATGCAAGTAGCATAGATGTTCTATTCTTGTACTTCATATTTATTGATTATGCCTCTTAGGTCCACATCCATTTAGATGCAAGTAATCATAAAAAGAAGCAGAGGACAGACCTGTGGAACTCGTCAGCAACTAAAAAACAAGGTGACAATGCTGATACGTTGCTTTGATCATGTAAATCTTTCAGCCCAGGTTTCTTCAACTTAAATGAGAACTGGAGGCAGCTGTGTGTGCCATGACAGCAATCTATAATCTCATTTGGCCAGGACATTTTCTAGCCAGGTTTTGTGAAACCATTGCGTAGTTTTGTCATTGCACTGTGTAATTGTGCTTCCAAAATTTAATGTTGTATTTGAAGGTATTGATGCTGTGCTGTTGATTTTGGGAAGAACTGAGGGGGCAAAGATAGGCAAAAGCAGGGCAAACAGTGGCATTGTTGCGTTCTCAAAGTAAAGGAAGGATTGAACTCTGATTAATAAGAATACACACAGAGACTTGAACCAGCAAGACTCTGGGAAGGGTGCGTATAATCGTGTCTCTCTGTGCCTGTCTGTCAGATCTCCGCAGCCCCTGGGCCAGGCTGTTTTATTCACAAAAGAACTTTTTACAGAGTGTTCATAAGAACCAATCATTTCCTCTGAGCATTTAAACAAACCCACGTGGGGACAAGTTAAACTACTAAAACTAATTAAGCACAAATATTTCTGGGGTAAACAAAGAACAGAACTACAAAGAAGAGCATCTGGCAACCCCGGAGGTAATAAACAAGCAATACATATGATAAGGAGGATGGCCAGGAGGACAGTGACCATTATCCCCTTAATGTGAGATCTGTTTCCTGGCCCTAAGATTAACATCCTAAGATTAATATCAGAAAACTACAAAGACGAAACTGCCCAGTCTTTGAGGACACAGGACGCCTGCCTGTCTAAGTGTGTATGTGATTTGTGAAGAGCAAGGAGAAATGGGCAGCAAAGGCAAAAGGGCATCAAAAGGGCATGAATGTAGAATCTTATGGGATTTAATCAGAAATTATCGTCAATATATCAAACCCAGTCAACACAATGTCTTCATTGTGGACACAATGGCTTGATGTATATTCTGTAATTCCTCATGGTAATCCCATCTGATCCCTACAGGCATGACCATGTAGCTTAGGTAATCAAGGACTGGGAGTCTTAGACATAGGAAGGAAGCTAGGAGGACCATTATCTTCCATTTTCATTCCCCAGATGATATGCATCAGCCTTTTGACTGCACACACGGACTCCTTACCTCCCTCTATGCCACAAGTTGTCATTAAATCAGGAAACCTAAATTTAAACAGATTTCCCTGTTTTGCTGCTATCTTTGGAATAAGCTGACTTCAAACTGTGGCTTAATATTCTGGCTTGTTCTGAAGTTTGCAACCATGGTTCCCCTGCTTTGGACAAAATGGGAATCAATGCTTAATTTAGAGCACGGGTGGGAAACCTGTGGCCCTCCAGAGATTGCTGGACTACAGATCCCATCATCCTTGGTCAGTGGCCATATCAGCAAGGGATGATGGGGGTTGGAGTCGAACAGCATCTGAAAGGTTACATATTTCCCATCCCTAAATTAGAATTAAGTACTGATTTGTTTGCAGCTTGAATGAAAGGAGGTGTACAGAAGCAAAGGGTGTGTGTATATCTCACATTATTACAATAGCCAAACTTGGTGTGTTCTAAAGAGCAAAAATGAATTCATTTGACCTTTAGCCTCTAATGATGCTGATGCACTTATAAAGGTATGTTCCCATATAAATATTTCACCCCCCACAGTTGTTGTCGTAAGTAATTTGATAAATTATATTTATTTTACACATACCAATTCTGAGTGGGGAAAACTCTTGTTTAGGTTTACTTCAAGTACTTCCTACTGGTCATAGCATGTCCTTGTACTTTAGTTCCAGAAACTCTTGCAGGCAGTCTAGGCAGTACACATTTTCCTTGTGTAGAAATGTGGTGAATAATACAGAAAACAAAGAATCTGGAGTGTTGATAAGAGAACCTTGAGAATTGAAGCCTACAAATACAAATATCGCAATTCCTTTGCTTGTTCCATGCTCTGCCTCTACTTTCTTTTGTGCCAGAAATGTGATACCGAGTGAAGTGCCAAATTAAATGGTCGCCTTCCCAAACTTGATATCCCCTCCTCCCTTCCATGTAAATACAGAGTCAATCCATGTCATACAGAGCAAAGTGAAAGAGGTTCTCTGAGTATACTCTCATGATTTTCACCCCTGCCAGGCAACTGTGCCATGCATAAAATCTGTAGGTTTGGTGAATTCATCTCTCAGAGCCCATCATTCAACCATCTCAGCATTTCTCTATCTTCTCATGTCCTACAGCTAAGCACTTTTTGAAAGTGCTACCTGCCAGTGATAGAATACATAGCTGCATTGACTTTTTTATTTTGTCCCAAGTTAGCCAATGGCTACTTCTAGTCAATGTGTTCATCCTTCAGAACGGGTTTTCTAGAGGCGATATGGTGAGCTGTCTGCACTCAGATCTGACTCTCCTTGTATCTATGCAGTTCTGCAGTGATAAACATTGAGGTACACCCAGATACTGCTTTCCTTCCTAAGATAGAATTGTTTTATGTCAGTCAAGAACTTGCTCTACCTAACTTCTTCTCTTCTCCATCAGAAGGGAAACCAGTTCTGCACAAGACATTAAAATAAAGTTGCCTTTCTACTTGAAAACATCTTCCAAGGCTCTAGGGCGTTTGTAAGATACTGCTCTTTACAAAGGACCACTCAAAGGATCCTTTTAATAGTGTTTACATGTTTTAGGGCATTTTTAAAAAATAATAACTTTTGTAAAAGTTTTTTGGAACTCACAATTTCTTAATGCTGTGCATTAAGGCTGTCTGAGAAGATGTTAATTAGTTCAAGGCCCGTGGTTGCTTACAAGTGGCCTGCTATATCTGCTTGCAGTAACTTGCTCTTTGCTCCAGCCACAGTGAATACCTCTTAACGTTTTGCCTTGATGTTTTGTTTGATACAGGAAAGGTCTTGAGCTATTGGTGTTTCAGTCCTGGATACAGCATGCACGAGTTAGTTCGTCAGGAAGTCCGAACAATCATTCTCACTAGCGGGACACTCTCTCCACTATCGTCTTTTACTATGGAAATGCAGATGTGAGTCTCTCTCTGTTGCTCCTATGACAAAAGGCAGCTTGAGTTGGGTTATATCCTGTCCTGGGTTTCAGTGAAAGTCATTGAGGAACAAGTATGGGATTTTCAGGTTCAAGGTTTATTTCTTACGTGTGGGATGCTTTTGACAAGGTATTTGAAGAAACATCATCACACATTTCCTGTGATGCAAAGTGAGCCCTGAGCACACCAGTGATTGGCTGTTCTTGGAGGTCAGTTTCAGTACATGTGGAAGTGCCATGGGAAAAGTCCTCCCTCTAAATTGTTTGGAAATTGGCACCAGTTTAAACCTGCCTCTTGAATTTACTAATTTGCCATTTAATTGTGATCTGAGGATGAGGATGGTGATAATTGATTGCTCGCTCTTCACCCTATTGTCCCAGGGCAGGTTACAGCAAGTAAAACACAGTGTTAAAACAAGCTTAAAACAACCTACAATCACAGAAATAAAGTGGGTCCTAAAAGTATATGTGGCAGAGAGATGCCCAAAAAATTTACTGAAGAGATAGATTTTTTTTCTCTTTTTAGTTTACTTACTGTGAGGCAATTATTAATTACATACTGGACCACTATTTATGTTCATATTAACAGATGTTCAGTTTTAAATGCTGTTGTGCGATAGATTAGCCCACAGTGAACAACCAGATCATGAAATCTAAGAGCCGGAAGGGACCCTGACTTACTCAGTTTTTTGCTTCTTGTGTATTCTCCTGCCCAAAGCTCAAACCACCAACCTTCTGGTTAGCAGCCAGGCACACTGCCCATTGCGCCGCCTGAGGCGCTCATGTGCCTGAGGCTAGAGGACTCGTTCTTTAAATTTCTGCCTGTTTGTTAAAGGCACCATTTTGCTTGGGCTTGCCTCTTCGGTGTTGTGTATTTTATGTGCATATACTCTACCTCATTATTTTGGGGCATCCCTGTTTCTATGTTATTCCATACCACCTGGGCCAGTAACTTGTTTTAGCTGACCAGACTCCTTTTTTTAAAGGACCTATACAGTTAGGTTTAAAAATATCCTCTGGCTTGCTGACATGTGACGCATCCTCATGAAAGGTTCATTTGCCCAGGCCACACAGGGATCATGTAATTTAGATGATCAACATAACAACCTCTCTCCAGTTTTTTGTCCCTGCCTCTACCCATCCAGTTTGTGTATAACCTCCTCTCTCTATTTCTGGATTGTGCCTTGTTTTCCCCGCGTCCATTTTCGACTCCACCTCTTACTCAGTTTCTTGCTCCTTGACTGTTCTCTACGTATTTTTATGTGTGTGAAAAAAATCCTTACCTTTCCCGTATTAGTTTCTCCCCCATTGTTGTGCCCGGACACGGAGGTCCAGTGCCGAGGACCTTCTGGCGGTTCCCTCGTTGCGAGAAGCCAAGTTACAGGGAACCAGGCAGAGGGCCTTCTCGGTAGTGGCACCCGCCCTGTGGAACGCCCTCCCACCAGATGTCAAAGAGAAAAACAACTACCAGACTTTTAGAAGACATCTGAAGGCAGCCCTGTTTAGGGAAGCTTTTAATGTTTAATAGACTATTGTATTTTAATATTGTGTTGGAAGCCGCCCAGAGTGGCTGGGGAAACCCCTACTTGGTGAAAGGTTACTATTCAGTCACCCGGTCAAAACACCTCTCCCATGGGGCCTGTGCCAGTGCTGGGATTGCAGCAGGCAGCGTTGGAAGACCCAAGTGCTTCCAGCCATGAATTCTCCCCATGTGGAATCTCTCTTGGCCACCAGGCATGGGGTTAGAAGAGCATAGGAGGCTGCATGAGGATTTGGCAGCCAGCAGGTCCCTCACTTCACAGGCCAGCACCCTTTCCCCCACCTCTACAGTTGGAGCAGCAGCCATATTCACTAGAGTCTTCAACTGCTGGATCAGAACCCTCTGTCAAGCCCCAGCCTGATCTAAGGCAGGTCATAACAGCAGCATTGCTGCCATAAAGTACACGGTAAAGAAATGGGTCCCCAAATGCATGTTTAAGTTAAAGTTGGGTCCCGTCTCTGAAAAAGTGTGGCGACTACGGTTCTCAGAGAGTTAGGCTGCAATGTTTTCTCTGATCACCAGAGGCCATCAAAGGACACGATAAGTTTAGTACAGGGGTAGACAGCCTAAGGCCTGGGGGCCGGATGCGGCCCAATCGCCTTCTCAATCCGGCCCGCAGACGGTCCGGGAATCGGCGTGGTTTTACATGAGTAGAATGTGTGCTTTTATTTAAAATGCGTCTCTGGGTTATTTGTGGGGTCTGCCTGGTGTTTTTGCATGAGTAGAATGTGTGCTTTTATTTAAAATGCATCTCTGGGTTATTTGTGGGGCATAGGAATGCGTCATCCCCCCCCCCCCAAAATAGTGCAGCCCACCACATGGTCTGAGGGACGGTAGACCGGCCCACGGCTGAAAAAGGTTGCTGACCCCTGGTTTAGTGCCTTCTCTTCTATTTCAGCTAATAGGGGAACTTTCCTTTCTAAATGGCAGCAGAGCCCGGTAGGCTTATCACAGCTTTACATTTCCTCTTCAAGTGGCTTTGCTGAGTTTTCTTCATTCTTTTGTCTTTCCTGTTATAATCTCTCAGATTTTAGAGCTTCATCACAGACCGAAAGAAAAGAAAGGAAGAGAAACTGGAGAGAGGTTGTTATACTAATAATCAAAGTCACATGATCCCTGGGGAAATCAGAACATAAAACTCCTCATACAAGTTCATTATACAAGTTCATTATACCAGCCTAGAAAGTCTATGCATGGTAAATGACCTAATGTTCCTTTCTGGCTTCACTGCTGTGATCCCCTAACACTGGAGTTAGAATGCACACGTAGAGATATCTGTCATATAACTTTTAAAAGAAACTGCAGATCGCTAAGAGCATCATTCTCTCTTTAAAAAAAATTTTTTTTAATTGATTTTCCAATATTTTCCCAAAAACAGCCTCATTATAACAGCGGAATTGGGGGCCGTCACGGCAGCCAGAGTGCTCTGTGCACCCAGTGCCTTTCCCTGCCCTTGCATTCCATGGGGAAACTGAGTGCCAGACCGCCAGGCACTTTGGATGGGAGCCTGGTTCCTCTTCCAACCAAAGAGGAATGCAGATAATGGAATTCCCCCATCAATTTCTGATTAACTCCATCTGTCTCTCTCCCACCGTGTTGGGAGAGACTCTGATCCTGGAAGCTGGAAGCCCAGAGCATCATTCTCTGAATAGGAAAATTGATTGTCAAGTGTGAAGCCTGTGTGCTTGGAGATAGGATTAAGTTGGTGTCCTCCTACCATGGGTAGAATTCCTTGAGCAACCAAGATGGTTCCTGACTGCTGCAAGGAATAAAAGTTAACGTGCATCTATTTAATGTAGTGCAAATTGCTCCAATGTAAGTTACCAACTGCCTACAAATGGTTGACATCCTAACTGGCATCATATGATGGTCCTGTTGCTCAGGTTTAAGCTAATCTATAAAGTTTATAGAACTGACAGGTTGGTGAAGTCTGACTGTCTTTTTGTTTTCCTTTAGTCCCTTCCCAGTTTGTTTGGAAAACCCACACGTTATCGATAAACACCAGATATGGGTGGGGATAATCCCTAAAGGACCTGATGGTGGTTTGCTGAGTTCCACCTATGAAAAAAGGTAATAGGGTTCCTTCCTTCCAGTTTAATAATCTTGTTGCAGACTTCGGTACTGCATCAATTTACTGCACATGCGCTCGACACAAATTCTCTGCAGAAAAATCGTATTTGTGATTTTTGGGAATACAGAGCCCAAATTCATACATAACAAAAAGCTTTATGAGACTGTGTTATAGTGAGACTTGAATTTGACCCCTCCCTCTCTTCACTCCTTCACATGCAAAGGAAAAACAGTTAATATTTTAATTTTCTGTTGTGGAACAAACCCCAGCTTTCTGTTACTCTAAAATACATTTTTTTTAGGTCCAGCAACTAGACCCGTGCAAGGTGTTCCAAGTGAGATTGCACCAGATTTGTACAATGGCATAATGATATTGGGAGTTTTTGTTTCATTCCCTTTCCTAATAACCCCTAATATGGGATTCACATTTTTCACAGCTGCAACACACTGGGTCAATATTTTCATCAAGATACCCACAATGAGCCCAATATCTCTCTTTCTGGAGCAGTCACCTCTAATTCAGAGAGGAAGGTGCAGGAGGCAAACACAAAAGAGCCAGAAAGTAGAGGAAACTTGTGAGAAGTTTCTGTTTCAGAGTTAGAACTTCACCATATGACTCTCTGTGGCCAGAGATAAGAGTCCACTCCACGTAGGACAATAAGCATGATTTCTAAGGAAGGCTAAACCAGGCACTGCACTCATTTCAACCTCACCTACCCCTTTTTCTTAGTTTAATGACCATGGGCGGCATGGGGGTGGGCAGGGAAGGCAAGCCCCCTTCCTCAAACACGGAGATTCCTTCCCCCTGTTTGCTGGACTTCCATTAACATATCCTGTTAATTTTTTTCAGTGATCTTAGCACGCTCACCTAGAAATATACTTTGCCTCTTCTGTCCCCCACCCATTGTTTTCTACTGTTGACACTGTTAATGACTCAGCGATTTAAACTTTTATAACTTCTGTAGATGATTCTTTGGATCATATGACTAGATACATTCTAATAAATTACAGGGACCTGTTTTTTCAGTGAATCAGTCAATAGGGGAAAGAAGAGAGTGATAGTCATGTCTTAAGGGTGACAAACGGTTCATTGTATTCCTTTGGTGATGACTGTGGGGGCACCAGGCATTCTTTACTTTCCAACATGTAGAAGCTGGGTGCTGACAGATAGTTGTTGTTTTTGCAGATTTTCATCAGAGTGTCTGTCATCTCTTGGGAGAACAATAGGTAAGATCGAGAAGACCTTCTGCTCCAACATGACTGAAATCCACACGGATTTAAATCAACACTGTGCGCTTAGCCAAGCAATGCAGCTGCTACACCGTGGGTAGGCAACCTAAGGCCCGGGGGCCGGATGCGGCCCAATCACCTTCTCAATCCAGCCCGTGGACGGTCTGGGAATCAGCGTATTTTTACATGAGTAGAATGTTGCTTTTATTCAAAATGCGTCTCTGGTTTATTTGTGGGGCATAGGAATTCATTCAATTTTTTTTGGTCAAAATATAGTCCGGCCCCCCACAAGGTCTGAGGGACAGTGGACCGGCCCCCTGCTGAAAAAGTTTGTTGGTCTCCCACCAACTGAGGCGTTAAATACTGTTGGGGGGTGGAAATGTGTCCTTGACTCCCCCCTTGAAGAGCTGCTGCCAATCAAATAAAATGCAAATAAAAATTTTAATTAAAAATAATAATACTGAAATCAGGGTGAACTTGGTCTTAATATTTGTTTGTTTTGTTTTGGCAGGTAATCTTGTTCGAATCACACCACATGGGCTGCTTGTTTTCTTCCCTTCATATCCTGTCATGGATAAAAGCCTGGAATATTGGAGAGTAGGTTAACATGGCCTTTTCTGTCCTATAAAGCGACATTAAGCAATATGCATTGTTCACGCTGCTAGTCATTAACGAGAACCTATACAAACAATATTGGTGTTTGAGTTGAGTGGATTTGTGCACAGTTTTGACAGATGGTAAGGAAATAATAAGATTGCTCCACACAGTCTTCAGCTCAGTCCTCATTAACTGCTGTCACTGCATTGTTGCCAAAAAGGAGTTGAATGGTGACATGGCTTAAAGCTGTAAGTATTGGCAACCTGAGCATTTTCCCCATCTGATCTGAAGCGATACGATCAGATTCTATACAACGAGGAGTTAGGCAAAGTAACTTGTTCACCAGAGGGCATAAAACACAATTGAGATGGCATTACCTTACAGGTTCCAACAGCTATCGCCTCTCTTTCATGTTCTGGCTTGATTCAAATTAGTGCAATAATTTTAATTTAAAACTTTCTGGCTTGTGGCATTGGAATAAAGCAAGAGACTATATTTCTTGTTTACTTTAGGAAACCTTGAATTTCAAAAATACTCACATGTTGGAAACATGCCCCAGGATTCTTGCTTGCTCATCCAAAGAATCAGAGCTTGTTGTCTGGTGCTAACAGGCATGAAACCTTTGTCCGGTTTTGGTGTGGAGGCGGGGGTGTGTGTGTGTGTGTCTTAGGTGACTGCACACCTGCTTTTATTCCATCTATCAAGCAGGCAGGAAAATCCCACACCTTGTTTGAAGTAGTTGATTCACTTGCTTGACTCACTTGTACTAGTCCCTCTCTTTGTTTTCTCACAGGAGCATGATTTAGCTGGAAGAATTGAAGCAGTTAAACCAATGTTTGTGGAACCAAGAAACAAAGGAACCTTCACAGAGGTTGGCAAGACTTTACACTGTTATGCTGCGTAGTAACTTGGTTCCTGGCTGCTTAGTCAGACTGCTACTGAGCAACCTTGAGCCTGGTCCCAGGGAAATGAGAATCTGGTTGTTAGTGATGTCTGATATACAGCTTGAGATTGTTGTTGTTTAGTCGTTTAGTCGTATCTGACTCTTTGTGACCCCATGGACCAGAGCACGCCAGGCACTCCGGTCTTCCACTGCCTCCCGCAGTTTGGTCAAACTCATGCTGATAGCTTCGAGAACACTGTCCAACCATCTCGTCCTCTGTCGTCCCCTTCTCCTTGCGCCCTCCATCTTTCCCAACACCAGGGTCTTTTCCAGGGAGTCTTCTCTTCTCATGAGGTGGCCAAAGTATTGGAGCCTCAGCTTCACGATCTGTCCTTCCAGTGAGCACTCAGGGCTGATTTCCTTAAGAATGGATAGGTTTGATCTTCTTGCAGTCCATGGGACTCTCAAGAGTTTTCTCCAGCACCATAATTCAAAAGCATCAATTCTTTGGAGATCAGCTTTCTTTATGGTCCAGCTCTCACTTCCATACATCACTACTGGGAAAACCATAGCTTTAACTATACGGACCTTTGTTGGCAAGGTGATGTCTCTGCTTTTTAAGATGCTGTCTAGGTTTGTCATTGCTTTTCTCCCAAGAATCAGGCGTCTTTTAATTTCGTGACTGCTGTCACGAAGTTAGGTGGGCTAACAGGAATAGTGGCAGTTTCCTCCTAGCAGTTTTATTGGTTTTATCTTGCTCACATAGCACCCCATGCACCAGAAGGTATCTGTTTTTTCTATTAGTGTTTTCTTGAAGCTTGAGCCTTAATCGAAATCCTGACATTTGGGTTATACGCAGTAGTGGTTGGTAGAGCAGAGTTGCTCACCTGGCTTCCCAGTCCCAAGCATCACTGCCTGTTACTGAAAGGGAGATGGGGAGAGACAAGGCGTCAGGACGCTTGCCACAGGGTGCCGCAGCACTGTAACCAATCAGATGCTTCACCCATGATGCCAAGTTCCACCCCTTACCTTCCTCTTCCCCTTTTCAGTAATTGATAGTGATACTCAAGATTTGGAAACCAGGTGAGCAGTGCCACTGTGCCAGATGTATGACATAGATCACAAGTACACATTCATCACTTTGGCCTTGAAACACCATATAACTCTAAATAAAAATGTATGATGAACAGCAGGTTAACATTAAAAAAATCATTCAGAAAGTTCAAGTGAGTTAAAAGCAAATTGGACATTGGACATATTTTTGACTCCTGGCAATTTTAGATTTTAGATCCTTGCTTCCTTTAGATTTTTATAGACTTTTAATTCTTTTTAGTTTTTCAAATAGTTTTTTGTATTTTAAATAACTGTAAACCCCCCCCCCCTTTTAGGCTGGCCTATGATCGTAATAAAGATTAGATTTGTTTTGACTCCTGGCAAAAGCACTTTGGAAACAGTGCAATGTTTTGAATAATCTGCTAAAAATCTCTGGAACTTTATTGCATAGAACAGCCCTCGCACACACACCCTCTTAATGAATTCCCATGTATCACACCTCTTGGGCAAAACCTTTTTACAGGAATTTTTTTTTTCTTCTGAAAAAGCAGCGTGTACCCTGCAGATAGGGCTTCCTTCCTTCATCATTGCTTTTTCTTCTTGGTGGGACTGCACGTTCAACTCTTCTTATCAAACAGTTAGTCATGCTTGAATTCCACTGAAAACAAAGTGCAGTGCTGGTTTTTTAAAATAACTTTGTTTATGAACTTTCATTTAAAAATCTCAGATCGATCCATAAGTAAACCCACCATTTTCCTAACCTTGAAATTTCTCTGCCAGGTTATCCTAATTTTCCAAACATTTATGTGCATATAAAATGCTACATATTTCCTGTTTGTCTTGTCTTGAACATAATTTGCAGGAAGATAAGGAATAGGAATGCTGAAGGTTCTTTGTGTTGTGTTCCATGGAAGCTGCTGTCTCACATGGCCTGATAGGAGATTTGCAGGTTTCTCATAATGAAGGGTGTCTCATTCATGGAAGTAAACATCTGCCCAATTGAGCAAAGTTAGCAAGATCCCGGGATCCTAGATTCTGTATATTTCAGTGGAAGTTGGAAAGCTGTTACGCTTCAGGGGATGGGGCCACAATCACAGAAGCTGTAAGCCTCTATGTAATGACAGGACTGCAGATACAGTATGTTCCAAGGAAATCAGGAATCAGTCGAAGGCCAAACATGATTCAAAGACAAAGTCAGGCAACAGTCTAAGCTCACAGGGTGTCCAGGCAAGGTACAGTGCAGCAAAGCAGAGTGACTAGATCTGGGACCCAGATGTTTCCAGCAAGTGGAAGGCTCAAGAGGGAGGCCTCCTAAACCAGATGGTAGCCACAGCTGCTAGCTGTGATGGAGTAGCATGGATTCCTTACTCACAAGAAGCCCCCTTACGAGTAGAGTGACAACTTTGGGTCCATAGATGCATAATGTGCCATTCCTCTTCAGCCCAGAACTGAAAGCTTTCGGTGCCGGCACTCTTGAAAACAGGGAACGGCGAGGAGCCTGCTCCACCTCCTCCTCTGGCACTTTTATTTGTTTTATTTATTTTACAACATTTATATACCACTTGACTGTAATAAAACCCCAGAGCAGTTTACAGAAAGAATAAAGCAATAAAACTACCTGCTAAAAACCCAGTTAAAAAGACTTAGTTTAAAACCCAGTTTAGAACGTTCAAAAGATAATTAAAACCAGCAATAAACCAAAAGCAGATTAAAATACATGATAGCCTCTGGGCACCACAGTTCAAGAAGGACACTGACAAACTGGAACGTGTCCAGAGGAGGGCAACCAAAATGGTCAAAGGCCTGGAAACGATGCCTTATGAGGAACGGCTAAGGGAGCTGGGCAGGTTTAGCCTGGAGAAGAGGAGGTTAAGGGGTGATATGATAGCCATGTTCAAATGTATAAAAGGATGTCACATAGAGGAGGGAGAAAGGTTGTTTTCTGCTGCTCCAGAGAAGCGGACATGGAGCAATGGATCCAAACTACAAGAAAGAAGATTCCACCTAAACATTAGGAAGAACTTCCTGACAGTAAGAGCTGTTTGACAGTGGAATTTGCTGCCAAGGAGTGTGGTGGAGTCTCCTTCTTTGGAGGTCTTTAAGCAGAGGCTTGACAACCATATGTCAGGAGTGCTATGATGGTGTTTCCTGCTTGGCAGGGGGTTGGACTCGATGACCCTTGTGGTCTCTTCCAACTCTATGATTCTATGATTCTCTACATGTCTTGTTAGGTTTGCTTAAACAAGAATGTTTTTAAAGGTAAAGGGACCCCTGACCATTAGGTCCAGTCGTGGCCGACTCTGGGGTTGCAGCGCTCATCTTGCTTTATTAACCGAGGGATCCGGCGTACATGACTAAGCCGCTTCTGGCGAACCAGAGCAGCACACGGAAACGCCGTTTACCTTCCCGCCAGAGCGGTACCTATTTATCTACTTGCACTTTGACGTGCTTTTGAACTGCTAGGTGGGCAGGAGCAGGGACCGAGCAACGGGAGATCACCCCGTCGTGGGGATTCGACCCGCCGACCTTCCGATCGGCAAGTCCTAGGCTCTGTGGTTTAACCCACAGTGCCACCCACGTCCCAAGAAGTTTTTTAGCGGGTGCCAAAAAAAGTATTATTTATTTACTTACTTACTTACTTTACTTACCTACCACCCTATACCTGGAGGTCTCAGGGCGGGACAGTGAAGGCACCTGGCCGGTGTCAATACGCAGGGAGTTCCAAAGTGGAGGTGCTACGTGGGATAATGCAATCACAAAGGTTTATGGGTCCCAAGCTCTGAAAGGTGTTATACAGTGGTACCTCAGGTTACATACGCTTCAGGTTACATACACTTCAGGTTACAGACTCCGCTAACCCAGAAATAGTGCTTCAGGTTAAGAACAGAAATCATGCTCCAGCGGCGTCGCGGCAGCAGGAGGCCACATTAGCTAAAGTGGTGCTTCAGGTTAAGAACAGTTTCAGGTTAAGAACGGACCTCCAGAACAAATTTAGTACTTAACCAGAGGTACCACTGTATACAGATAGCAGCAGGTTTAAATTGGCGCAGTAGCAGATCTGCAGTCAGAGGTGTCATATGCTGACGGGGTTTTTTTGTGTTTTTTTTAAGAATAATTTTTTATTAACCAACCAATCACATCAAATCAAACCAAATTACATACATTCCAAATTACACAGCCGAATTTTAAATTTTTGTTGGGGGTACCCATATTTCAAGTTCTGAAGGGATCCAATCAACTTCTTGCTTCTTACTGCTGTTTTAATGTCCACAAATCTAACCTTATGATGTTCACAGTACTATCCAGTCCTTTCTTATTATTTTTCCACATCTCTTGTTATTTTCATATATTTTTCCTTTCTCTTTGTGACCTCTGATAGTCTCCGCAAGCTGGTTAGAACAGTTTGTAATCCTGCGTGGATATATTTTTTTTTATCCAGTAGCCATATCCAGACGTTTTCCATATAACATCACTTCCATACATCAAAACAGTCTTAGCGTCATTAATCTTCACCAATCTGCCTCCTTTCTCAAAACCTCTGAGGAGATTCACTAGAATGCAGTCTGAAAACAAATCCGTTCTTCCTCCCGGCTATAAATCCTTTGGCAAGATGGCGACTCTGAATTAATTGCTGCGCCATTCCCAAAAGCTCTTATTGCTTCTCGGTCTCCATAAAGCATACTTTTGGTTAAAGTTTATCTCCACACAGACCTTAATCATCCTGCTTGGGTCAGTTCTACCGACGGTTCTAATGAGGAGGGGTTCTTGTAAATCACATAGAAGGAAAGTAAAAATGGTTTCCACCCCCATTCAGCCCCGTTGTCAACATACCCCACCTTTGGTGTATCTTCATCGTAAAATATTCCTGTTTCTCCAGCCCGTCGTCTTCTTTCGCAGAGGTCACTTAAATTAGCAGACTTCACTCCCCTTCTTCACTTGAAATATGTGCATTTGCTTCTTTTGTAATTAATTATTCCAAATTGCGCGATTATTCCAAACTAGCGCGCAATCAGAGACAGCGTCCAGGAGAGCCGATATCCACACGGGGGCATTCTGCCTAGGGCCCTCACCCCCTACTTTCGAATTAGGGGGTGATTTGTGGGCACAGCAGGCAAGGGCAGTGTTCCCCATTTCCTTGGGGCAACAAGGGAGGCTGCCTACTCCCATAACAGCCTCTTAATTACCCCGTGTGGGTCGGAGAGATGGTATTGTCGGCCATCTTCCAATGCGCCCCTAGTGGCCCCCCGGGTTTTAGTCCTGTCAGCAGTTGTGCTGCAGCATCCATCATCAGAAGGGCCCCTCAAAGGGATCCTAAGCATTGGATTCAGGGGACCGTGCCTGCTCCTCAAGGTCCTGTGGAGTGTCTTGAGAACTCTGTGTCTGGTACCAAGCCAGATCTAGGCACGACACAAGTTTGTCCTTAAATTTTCATTTACATTTTTTTCTCTCTCTCTCCTAGGTCATAAATGCCTATTATGAGAAGATTGTCTGCCCCAAGTCGAATGGTGCTGTTTTCTTGGCTGTGTGCCGGGGGAAGGTATGTGTAACAGATTGCAGAAGTCTGAAAGTTAGATTCTCTGCAGAAGCCAACTTGTGCAGAGCAATAGTGGGAATTTATTTATTTAAGAATCATAAGAACTGGGGAAGAGTCGGATTCAGATCCCCACTTAGCTATGAAGCTCACTGGGAACTTTATGCTTGAAATCTCTTGGCCTATCCTCTTTTACAGGGTTGTTGTAAGGATAATAGAAACCAATTAACAGAATCTGAGCAGTTGTGTTGTTGTTGTTGTTCAATCGTTTAGTCATGTCAGACTCTTTGTGACCCCCTGGACCAGAGCACGCCAGGCACTCCTGTCTTCCACTGCCTCCCCCAGTTTGGTCAGGCTCATGTTTGTAGCTTCGAGAACACTGTCCAGCCATCTCGTCCTCTGTCGTCCCCTTCTCCTTGTGCCCTCCATCTTTCCCAACATCAGGGTCTTTTCCAGGGAGTCTTCTCTTCTCATGAAGTGGCCAAAGTATTGGAGCCTCAACTTCACGATCTGTCCTTCCAGTGAGCACTCAGGGCTGATTTCCTTAAGAATGGAGAGGTTTGATCTTCTGCAGTTGTGTTAAATAGTGGAAATATACTGAAACATTTTGTTGCAGTCCTGCTTCTGTGAGTTGTTATTATTAGTTACATTTTTATACCAACTCTCTTCCAGTTCGCTGAGGGTGGTGTATATGGTTCTCACCTGGTCATTTTTATCTCTGCAACTGCCTTATGAGACAGTTTCGGCTGAGAGAGAGTGATCGAGAGGGTCACCAGTGAGCGTCATCACTAAGTGAGGATTTGAATCCCTGCATTTCCTGTGCTAGCTGGATGCTCTAACCACTGCACCACACTGCTTTTGAAGTTCCATTACACGCATGGAAATAATATAAGATTTGTTGGCTGTTACTATACCATTTCCTCACTAGTTTTCATCAGTAAGATGGGGAAATTTAAACTCATTTCCTACTATCTGTTCTTGTCTTTCACAACCCTACCTCCAACAAAGTTTCTACTTTCATAGGAACTTTAACACACCAGATTGTGTGTCAAATACCCTATGCATGGGTGCCATGAAGCTTGTTTGTGTGGTGTTGCTGGACTGTGGCAACTTCTAGTCTGCATTTCCTCTGGGCCATGAGCTTGTTCAGCTGTCTTGTGTGAACTAAGATAATGTCCTGCAGCGCTTCCCAGCTGATGTGTCTTCTAAGGAAAGATTGGTAGGAGTGGGCCTTTCAAGGAAGCTATTCCATCATTCCATATCTTTCTGCTGAGAAACTCGTGATAGGCTTCCAAGAAACCTCAGGATATCCTGGAACTATTTGAAAATGATGTAACTAGCACAAGATTAACTTTTGAAGCAGCAGCATTGAAGCCAAAATAAAAATAAATGAAGCATGTTATCAGCATGCTTTGAGACAAAGACACATAATAAAGCTGGCTTCCTGTGTTTACGGTTGGGGTTTTTGTTTTCGTTTTGTCTTTTGCTTCTTATGGAAAGTGAAAGTGAAAATGTTAGGCATATTTCTTGACCACTGTAATCCTCAGGTTACATTACAGACCTTATTTGGCATCCACTGGGAACTTCCCGGTGACAAGGCTCTACACAGAAGAACAGTAACTTGTTACCTTTTCCTTTTTTATTTGTGTATCTATTCATTCATTCCTTCATTTACCATATATGATCTTTTTTTTAAACATCATATTTTTCCCCCTGACAGTGGATCTAAGCTGCAAGATAAAACATAAACATGTACTTAAGCTATAACATATTGCAGTGGCAAGTTTAAAAGGTCTAGATAAATAAAATGCTGGTGGTGAAAATAAAAAAAAGATGTTGTGAGGGAAACTTCTCTGGAAAGGGTGTTCCATAAATAGGGTGCTATAGCTTCAAAATGCCAGTTTTTTATTGCCACCCTCCTTACTTTACCTGGAACTTAGTGTGTGCCCTGGTCCAGCCTTGGAGGGCTCTCTCCACTGTGATAGGAATTTTGAGGACTTAGATATATGGTAATGTTCATAAGTGTACCAACCAAGCACATACATAGATCAGCACAGGAAGGCCAACCTGGAACCATTTTGATTCCTAAAATGAGCAAATGTTTTCTCTACATGGTCAAAGTGAAAAAGCCTCCCCATTGTCTTTTCCTTCACAAATCCTGTCTTAAGGGTATGTCTGTGTTTGAATAAGGTGTGAGCCTGTGACCTGGCCCAGGAACTAAGTATTTATCATTACAAAAGACTGGCCAGGCTACCCAGGAAATCCAATCAAGTAGCCTGCCAGACAGGAGATAAACAAAAACAGGAGAAAAACAATATTAAAATTTCTATTTTGGACCGCCTTTTCTGTGATGTAGGTGTGATGTATCTGAGGGGTGGTCTTAGGTTACACCCCTTCTGTGATGTATGTATGATGTTTCTGGGGGTGGTCTTGATCTACAGGATGGGAATTTCAAAAGTCTTTATAAGGCCTTGCACACCATTTTTCTAGGTCCTCCTCCTTTCCTGCGTGTGAGGGGAGCACCCTGTTGCAACAGATCAATAAAGATCAAGCTTACTAGCTGCTTTGTTTCTCAATATTCTCTGGTTGGCCTCTGTTATTTTCTCCTACCAATAGGGAACCCAAGTAAGGACTCTATATGGGCTCTTGGATACCCCATAAGGGAAAAGGGCAATTTTTGTTTACAACACCACATCCAGGAGGCCACTGACCTGATCATGTGATGCCTTTACGGAGTCCTGCTTGCAGAATTTTTGAACTTCTTGATGTGTAGATTGAATGGGCTACTAAGAGCCAACTAGTGTGTTCAAACCATAAATGAGATTCTAACTCAGTGCTTCCTAACCAGCAACTTACTTTCATTGCTCCTAAATTGCACTAGAGGGACGTGGGTGGCGCTGTGGTCTAAACCACAGAGCCTAGGACTCGCCGATCGGAAGGTCGGCGGGTCGAATCCCTGCGACGGGGTGAGCTCCTGTTGCTCAGTCCCTGCTCCTGCCAACCTAGCAGTTCAAAAGCACATCAAAGTGCAAGTAGATAAATAGGTACCGCTCCGGCGGGAAGGTAAATGGCGTTTCCGTGCGCTGCTCTGGTTTGCCAGAAGCGGCTTAGTCCTGCTGGCCACATGACCCGGAAGCTGTACGCCGGCTCCCTCGGCCAATAAAGCGAGATGACCGCTGCAACTCCAGAGTCGGCCACGACTGGACCTAATGGTCAGGGGTCCCTTTACCTTCACCTTACATTGCACTAGTATAGTCATGAAGTGGCCTTTAGACTGAGGCATCCAGAGAATTATATCATAGGCCTTGGCACCATCAAGCGGAGAGACACAGCTCAGATCTTAAGCACCCCCTGTTTGCAACCTTAAATTCCGGCAAGTAGGCACAGCAGCCTTGCAGCGCTGTGCTTGAGCTCATGCCCCTGCCAAGTGGCTCCCCTTCCAGAGATGACCTGGAGCCCCCAGAAACTCAGGAACCAACCCAGAACTACAGCTGAAGTGTGTTCGGGACCTTCAGAGAAGACTGGAGAAGCTGGAAGCGGAGCAGGAATTTGTCTCTGCCTCTTTTAGTGACAGACATCATCTGTTTTCAGGCCAGCGAAGGTTTGGACTTCACGGATAGGAATGGTCGAGGTGTCATCATTACAGGCCTTCCTTTCCCCCCTCGCATGGACCCAAAGGTCATTTTGAAGATGCAGTTCTTGGATGAGATGAGGTCAAAAGGTGCCGCTGGTGGACAGGTAAGAAGGGAGCCCTCCCATTGATATTATGGATATTTGTCATCAAAGCGGGCCCTGCCATTAGGCAGAGTGAGGCAGCCACTCAGGCTGAAAGTTCTAGGGGGCAGGTAGCTGTGATGAGGTTTGGGGGAGCTGAACTGTGTGTGCTACCTGGCATGCCCTGCTGCACCCCTTAACCTAGCTTGCTGCTCTTGGGTCTGATCCATCACCAATGCTGAAATAAAGACAAACGATAACAGTCCAGTTGGCATGGAAAGTGAGTGGGGCATCAAGTCCTTGGTCTCAGACAGCAAAAATTATTGGTCTGACCCTGTTTGTCTCTGTTCTCTCAATGCAACTTTTCTCTATGGATATCGGTCCCAATTCCTTGGGCCACAGGAATATTTGTTGAAGGCTTCTAAACCTTGGTTATTTATGAGAGAATTCTCCGTTGGCTGCTGTTTCTTAAGAATTTGTAGACAGTTTGCAAGTGGCAGAGTTAACCTTGTATTAATGCATATCTAAAAGGAATGTTGCAAACGTCTGAAGCACAATGCACAGTGTTATTAATCCAGATAAATCTTCATGGCAGGTAGGGGCCAGTGGGGTGTCCAATTCCTCTTTCAGAAAAGAGGTGGTCCTAAGCTACAGAAACGGTGGGGAAGGGGAGAACCAAGGGACAGGCAGAAGGGCATTCTTTGCAGATGTGTTTTCAGGGCATCTCCTTAAAGGATGGTACTAATTTTGGTCTGGTGTTTGATACATTTTCTTTGACATTTAGTATTTATCCGGGAACAACTGGTACAAACAACAGGCTTCTCGTGCAGTGAACCAGGCCATTGGTAGAGTCATCCGGCATCGACAGGATTACGGCGCCATCTTCCTCTGTGACCACAGGTGACCTTCCTTCTTGCTTGGGTAGAGTTCTCGTGTCCTCATCTCCGTCTACTTGAATTCTGTACCATCTGTGCCATCTCCTTGCTTTGCTACTGTGGAACAAGCCTTCAGAAAGTAGGAGAAAATGGACAGTTTTCCAAATGGAGGAATGTAGAAGGTGGAATCGCCCAAAGTTTCATATTGGGATCTGTGTTTTTGAATTAGATCATAAACAAGCTAGAGCTAGGGGAGAGTGGTTAGGTGGCCCTGTTTTCTGATGATACTAAATTGCTCGGGGTAGTTAGGACAAAAAGATTGTGATGAGCTCCAAAAGGACTCTCGAAACCGAGTGAATGGGCAGCAAATTGGCTCAATTGGTGCACCTCTCTGATTTCCTTGCTTGCCTTGTTACCGTGTAATTCCAATGTAATGTTCCACCATTATTTAAAAATAATAATGTGCAACCACAAGCCTGCAGGATGCAGCTGCGCCTGTGACTAGAACTAGGCAAATTAATGGGAGCAGCTATTCAGAGAAAGCTCTGAGTTGTTATCCTGGCCAGTGGAAAGGAAAACTGTTTACCCATGTATCCCTTGGTTCAAAACCAAAATAAAGAAAGAAATATGATCTAACCAAAATATTTCTCATGTGTTGCTAGACTGGGTTTCTAAATCCACATCAGTAGTCTTAGAATAATAATCCAAGTTAAACGTATTCTTTCGGGAGAAATTGCATCATCTTTTCGCGGCTTTCTTCGAAAACAGGAACGCTCTGACTGAGAACTGGGGGATTCTATCTCACCGCTTGCCACCACATGTGCAAAATGTGGGTTTCGTCCCACTGCAGTGACATCAAATGTGAAGAAAGTCACTAAACTGGAGTATGTGGTCCTTATAATTGCACTCCTATCATAAACAGACAAAATAAATTTATCTCTGTAGTACACCATCTAAAATGGGGTATTAGGTTATCGGCATGGGATGCAAATAGATGGAGAATGGCTTATTCAAGACTTACTTACTCATGCTGCATATTAATATCTATTCCTATATGGTGTCTAAGGAACACATCCCACGTTTAGAGGGGATGCCCACAAGCCTGGAGTTTCTGCTTGAGGGCCTAGGGAAGGCTTTCAACACTAAACCCCTTAAAAGTCAGGTTGTAGTATTCTCTGCTGTGGGAGAGTTGAATCTGTTTCAGGCCACTCCCATGTCTGCAGGGTGGTTCTAAGTAATCCTCTGGGAACGCCCTATTTTTCTAAATGGAACCTGTAACTGGAAACTGAACGATTCCAGATGAGCTATTATCTGCAACTGGTGCTCTCTTCCTAGGAAAGGAATGGTTTATGAAACCAATCTATTCATAACAGCAGTGGCGAATTAAAAAGCAGATCTCATAAGCTGTATAGTTCAGTCAATCAATTAGACTCTTCGTAGGAATTGCAAAGGAGGCTGGCCTGACCCAGACATTGTGGAGGGGACCCTGGTGATGACTACTTTATCTCCCACAGGTGGCAACCCCGCAAAAGGGGTTTTGGAGCTCTTAGCTAATTCATGTGTGATTTCTGGCCAGCACTTCAGTTGACTCCCTTATCCAGCACTTGCAATCCCACAGTGTTTTGCAACTTACCATTTAACCTTTGCTGTATGGAAGAATGATACAAGTGTAAATGTAAGGATACTGTTTATCCTCTTCTGTTATTTTTGTGATGGGGATAAAATTATTATGGGGTGCTATATCCAAAGGTGTTTTCTTTTACCAATGGTTATCAGATGTTGCAGAGCACTTAGGCATCCAATTCCATCTTTCTTCTGGGTTGTTTTGGTGGGAAAGTGTTACAAACATTTCTAGGCATGTCCCGAAACTGTTTTTGACAGAGCTTACTAGTGTTCTTTCCCACTTTCCAACAGGTTCATGAATACAGATGCAATAGCCCAGTTGCCTTCCTGGGTCCGTCCTTACATCAAGATTTATGAAAAATTTGGGCATGCCGTCAGAGATGTGTCTCAGTTCTTCCGTTTTGCCCAGGAAACTGTAAGTGTCAAGCAACTGCAGGCGAAAGCTATTCGTCTGCAAAATGTCTGAGAGTTACCTCATGACTAGCATTCCAGAGACATAAGGCTGCCCAGCCAATTTGTTCACAGACTGCTCTGGGATCTGATACACTTTGGGTTATATATATATATATCTCTATATATATATATCTATATATACACACACACACACACACACACACACACATATAACATATCATTTTCAACAATAATTAAACATACTTTTACATCTTATACAGTTTTTTTGACTTCCATCAATCACATCTGAAAATTTTCCAATCTGTTCACTTAATATACATTTCTTACTTTCACTATTACCTTTAAATCTCCTAACTAATATCTCTATTCTTTCTCTACTTTGCAGTATTTCATATATTTCTCCTTACAAAACTTATTGTAGTCCTACTAGCGTAATTTGTTGGTTACAATTGCTCTTCAAATAGTTTGTATATTTCTTCCAATCTTCTGTAAATCTCTGGTCCCGCAGGTTTCGAATCCTTCCTGTCATTTTGTCTAATTCTGCATAGTCCATTAATATTGTCTGCCATTCTTCTTTCGTCAGAATTTCTTCTTGCTTCCATTTCTGGGCTAACAATACTCTTGCCGGTGTTGTTGCATATAAGAACAATTTAACATCTTGTCTATTAATATCATCACTTACAATACCAAGTAAAAATGCTTCTGGTTTTTTTAAGAATGTATATTTCAACATCTTTTTCATCTCATAATATATCATTTCCCAGAAGTTTTTTACTTTCTTAACATTCCCACCACATATGATAAAATGTTCCTTCTTTTTATTTACAACATTTATTATTTGTCTTACACATTTTAGTTAATTTCACGGGTGTAATATACCATCTATACATCATTTTCATCAAAGCATTACAAGCTGTAAATTTTATTCTATCTTTCAACAACCTATCCCATTCTTTAAGCTGTATGTTACATCCAAAATCTTTTGCCCAGGGTATCATCACCAATTTCACTTCCTCGTCTTTCAGGTGCCATTCCAACAGTATTTTATACATTTTAGACATTATTTTACATTCATCGTTTAATATTTCTATTTCAAATTTTGATTTTTTTATCATCAAATCCTTTCTCCTTTAAATCCTCTTTATACATTTCGTTGACTTGGCCATAGTTCATCTGGGATCTGATACACTTTGGCTTAGCAGCATGCTGTTCATTTAGAACAGTCGGAAGAGGTGTAACACCCTAATGTACAAAGTAACAAAAGGCTTCCCAATGCTGGCCAAACTTTTTACAAAGGAAGCTTTATGCTGCAGCTTTTTTTCTCCAGATGTACAAAATGGTACAGTTCCAAATATAGTGTGAAAATTGTATAGTTCCAAATATAGTGTGTGAACCTTGGACTGAGTAAATATTGCATGCATCTGCAGAAATCTCTTGCTTCTTGAACTTTACATATATAAAGTGGCTTAAGATCCTAATCTCTCACCGATTTCTCACCATGTGAGAGACATCACAGTTATTTCTATTTCACAGATGAAAATACAGCACAAAGGGAGTTTCCAACAGCATCTCTTTGCTGCTCAGCTGTTTTGATCGGGTGCGGGGGGGGGGGGAGACCTGTTAGCAAGTACAGCTATAGGATACATTGTGTAGTTTTCTCTTTATTAGTTATTCTCTTTAGTCACTAGTTGCTGTTTCTTTCATTTAGTTATTCTGGCATAGCAGCTCTGTTATCAAATGGATCATACACTTTGATTTTAGTGCACTCCAAAAGACATACCCACCCCATAGGTTTTAACTGTTCTATGGTGTTCATGCCTATCATGGCATATTAATTCAAGCCATCTGGCTTCTCATTTCACCAATACAGAATGTTTTATTTATTTCATTTATATCCTCACCTTTTCCTGAAAAAAACTCAAGTTGACGTTTGTGGTTATCTTCTTCATCCCACCCTGAGAAACAATTTCTTCACAACGGCCCTGTGAGATAGGTTAGGCTGAGAGAGTGTGTCAGTGAATTCCATGACTGAACAGTGATTTGAAATTGGGTTTTGCCAGTCCTAGCCTAGAACCATTACAGCACAAGGACGTTCAGCACCAGCAGCACTTCCTATGAGCTAGACACAATGGCATGCACACCTTTTCTATTCAGGCACCTCTCCTTTTCTCATATAAATTGGGGATGTGTCTATATTTTACATCAGATAAAACAGCCTTCATCAATCTTGTGCCCTCTGAAAGCTTTGAACTACAACTTGCACCACAGTTCTGCCTTCTTGCTAGGATCAGCTTTTTCTCTCGTTTCCATCCTACTGCTTTGCCTTGGCACTGGTTCAGAGCCCTCACAGCCTTTCCTGATCCAAATAGCATGAGGAGAACTGGATGTCATTGACATGCTGGAGGCACCTTCTCCCCAAAGTTGTAATGACCGTTCCCAGTGGCTTCATATAGATATGAAACAGCATTGGGGAGTGAGGAGTGCCCTGCAGCAGCTCATAGCATAACTGCCAGGAGGCTCAAAAGCACTCTCCCAGTTCTACTTTTTGGACTCAGGCCCATAGCTAGGACCAGAACCACTGTAACACAGTGACCTCAGTTCCCATTCTACAGAACCATTCCAGGAGGATGCCATGGTCACTGGAATCAAAGGCTGCATAGCACTCAAGAAGCAGGAGCAAGGTTGCACTCTCCCTGTCTCGCTCTCTGCAAAAGTCTTCCATCAGTGCAACCAAAGACATCTCAGACCCATGGACAGGCCTGAACCCAGATTGTGATGGATCTAAAATAATCCCCTTCTTCACCTCTTGTACTTTATCCCAATCTGGCTCACGTCCATTATTGGGGGTGGGGGGAAGCAAGGGGAGTTCCAGCTCCCCTCCTATGCTTCCCCTTTTGATGGAAACAACACATACCCATCCACCCACTTTAGAGATGAACAGCCCAGCAGGCACCTGGCTAAACAAACACATTTGCCATCATTATGACTAGTTTCATCCTAATTCTCTGGGGTGCAACTGGGATTCATTAGCTATAAAACTTGTCTCAGGCATGAAGCACATTGTTCTGTAAATCTGTTCAGACAGCAGTTTTTAATTACAGCTAAAGTGAGGGGTACTAAGCGACTGTAGATGGACCTGTGGTCGGAGCTGATAGAAGGCAGCTTCTTATTCTCCTCCAACCAGATTCTGAGATGGCTGTCACCATCTTGCCCTGCCCTTGGCTTTCAGCATTCATTTGATTACTGTTGGCAAGAGAATGATGTAATGGGTAGATCTTGGAGTAACCTTTTCAGGATCGGAACTGCTAGGTTGTTAATTATATTAACTGCCCTGTTTTACAAATTTCATACTGTGGTCAGATGAGACGTGGTTCTTTGCTAAGGGTGTGTGTCTCCTAGACTAACCTTAGACTTTCTTACCAGTATAATTAGATGGGCCTCATCTCATCTTGGATGGGCCACATATGACTTGTGTCATGCCAGAGGCTCATCTATACCATGTGTCTTGACAGAGTCGTACAATCAACCCGTGCCACCTCATTACTGGTATCCCTTCTAGGCATTATCATAGTCCCACAGATGTATAGCCCATTTTCCACCTAAATCTAATATATTAACCATGTCATTTCTCAACACACTTCTCCATATTATGCTGTTGTGTCTTAACCTTCACTATTTTTACCATGTTTAAAGTATGGTTTAACATGAACGAGCAATTTGCTATTATTGTACACTGCTCTAAAGTCCCACAGTGCTTCTACCAGACTCCTTTCTTCAGCATATTGGGAAGAAACAAATCAGAGGCTGGCTTGTTACATGCAAACCTGTGCTCATGGTTTCTTCGTTTGCTCACAGACCCATGATGGTTACCCAACATCCTTGGCTTACCTCCATGGTTTGTAAAGAGGCAGACACATAATGGCAAGCCAACCTCTCGTTTGTTTACTCCTTGGTGAAGTGATGAAGTAAGAAGTGTTGCTCATTCATATTAAACCATAGTTTAATTTAAAAGAAGGCTTTAAGCAGGGCTTGTGAGCACAGTGCCCATGGGTGGGATGGTGCTCCCTGGTGCCCACAAAGCCTCTGAGCGCCACTCACCCCACTCATTGTTCCCCTGGTCATGAGGTGTGAGGGCTGTTGCCTTTTTCTCCCTTGAAAAGTACATAGAGCTGGAGGAGGAAGTTGGAAGAGTGATGGTCTTTCTCACTTCCTCTTTCAGGTCTATGGCTCAGATTAATTCCACTGGGTATGATTTTTACCCAGATCCCTTGGAAAAGCATAGGTTTTTTTGTGTGCACTTTCTTTCTGTCTCCTACGGGTGAAGGGCTAGACCAAAGGAGGGAGAGGAGAAGGGAACAAAGTGTGTGGTGCCTACAGCACTTGCTCAAAAATGCAAAGGCCTAAAAAGGTTGGTGACTCCAGTTTTAAAGTGACGTGGTAGAGTTCAAGTCATAATATTTAGGCAGGTTCTTAAAATGTTGGAAGTTGAGCGTTTTACATTTTTCTTGTGTAATGCTTCCAATTTCTGTGCAGGTGCCTCCTCCCCCACTTCGAGACCCCTCTTGCACCACCACTGGAGAAGAAGGCAGCCCTACAACTTCGGCTTCATGTGAGAAGCTCCTTTCAGTGACCAAAGCCAGCAACACGGACAACCATGTTCCTAGTTTGAAAAGGAAGAGGATTGGTAAGCGGTTGCCTTTTCCTGTTGTGCAAAATAGGCACTGGAACAATCTCACCTCAGAATCTTAAAAAGGCAAGGTGTGCTGAGGTCATAAAATGTCAGCCAAACGAGCTAGGGAAAGTTGAAACACCGAATATTTGTCTGAAGGCAGTTCTGGCATGGGGGAGGGCAAACAAGCCAAGGCTTGAGAATTGCTGCTGTTAGATAAGACTTCTCATGTAGATAGAAGCTTGTAGCATGTATGGGTATTTTCCAGGACTTGGTATTATTTATGGAACTGCAGGTGACATCAGTGGCTAGGAGTACCTCTTCCCATCTTCATTTTGTTCAGCAGCAGTGTTTAGAGAAAACCGACGTGGCCTGAATTACACATGCCTTGGTTGCATCTTGGGTAGATTACAGCAACACACTTTCGTTGGGCTGCCTCTAAAGACAGTATTTCTATCTCACCTTTTAGACTAAAACCCTCACAAGGCAGCTTACAGCATCCACAGCAATTAATAATAATATGACAGACAATAAAACACAGAAAACAAAATCAGTGCATCAAAAATTAAAGTAGGAACAACTAAAACAAGTCAGATAAAGGCATCAGTGAAAAGCAAAGTGGAATTAGAAAGTTAATTTAGGAACCTTCTTTAATGTCACCAGTGAAGGGCCCATAAACAACTCCTAGCGGAGGGAATTCCACCACTGAAAAGACCCTTTCCCTTGTATGTGCTAAACTGATGCTATTTAGTGATAGGCTAGAAAGAAGGGCCTTTGAGGCCAATATCAGGACCCAGTCAGGTATAATATGGGCACAGATTTTCCTTCAGGTAGTCCTATGCCAAATTAAAACAATGTAATTTAAAACAAATCAGAAGTAAATGAGGTATCTAGAGCCAAACATATAGGAACAGACCATACCAAAATAAAACATAATAAATTAATATCACAAAGTATTAATATCCAAGTAACACAAATGGATTTACATACTTCTGTACTTTATTAGCATTTGAGATCAGTTCCAGCTTAATTATTACTCCCCCCGCAGCTGTGGTTTCCTTAAAGGAAGTCAGTATGAACCCATACAAAATGTTATCACTTGTGTTCTCACAAAAGGTGGTTTCCATGTATTTAAGACCAGCGTCAGCATTTAGTCAAATATACCAAATGCACCAGAATGATTTGAATGGGGAGAGCCTCTAGATTTACCATATTTAACAATGCTCAAAAGTCCTCTATGCAGTCATATATTATTCAGCTGTCTCTTTTGAAAACTTCTGCAGGAACATAATCTTTACCGTAATAACAAAACTTTCCCTAAAACTTAATATATACATGCTTTGCTTTTAGTCCCAGATTTTTGTTTCATTTCCTTGTCCATGGATGGAGAGGGCATCTTTCTGACACTTTAATGGACTGAATCTTGCTGCCAAGTCCTTCAAACTTCTGCTTTATTGTTTGTTTAACTTTCAGACTGCCCTTCATCCTGAAGGATCCCAGGGTGGTGCACAAATAAATGCACATTAAAAATAATGATGATGATGATAAACACTTTTAAATACCCCTTATCTGCCCAGTTGATCACTGCACTCTGAAAGTGAGGACTTCCTGAATTACCATCTTATCAGGTTTCCTTATCAGGAAATCCCTTCTGCACAATTTGGGAATCTGCTCATTAGTGTTATGGCATCTGCACTTTGGAATTCCCTCCCTATTATTATTTCAACTTATACACTGCCCTATACCCGAAGGTCTCAGGGAGGTTCACAAGAAGACCACAACTTATAAAATCAAACCAAAAGCAGTAACCCAATAACTCCCCCTCCAAAAAAATCCACATTCTAAAAGGTTGTTGGATGAATATTAGGCACCCTCTCTGTTGTTGTTTTCAGTGTCTACTGAAAACCTTCCTCTTTCAACAAGCTTTTTAAGTGGGGATACTTCCTAGTCTGCAGCTGTATTAGAATTTTTTGTAAGATCTTTTTATTGTTTGCTTGTTGCTCACATGCTCAGAACATTTTGGCCCCAGCTGAATTTGAAAATAGACTTCTTGCTGGTCATGCTTTTAAAGTGGAGGATGCTTACCTTCCAGAGACAGAAATTGGTATAAATTTTAGGATTCTTCTCATTTTATTCTGAACATCTAAACTGGATATACTCTTCTTTTTACTTCTCCTCCTGTCTCAAACTGATCTAACCCTGAGCAGAGAAAAATGAGTTGGGACATTCAGAATCTAGTTACTTACAGGCTGTGTATCTTGTCTCAGATAATGGAGTGGCCAACCTGTGTGTAGAGTATGACCAAAGGCCGTCCACCTCACAAAGACAACCTGGTAGCCTCTTGGCTGCACTGGAGTGCAATGAAAAGAACTGCGGAGAGGCAGGTGAGGAAGACAGCTTGCCAGGAGAGGAACAGGTATGAGAGCATAGCTTGAATTTCTAGTCCCTGATTTCTCCCCACCCTCTCCCCAAACAGGTAATAGACTAGTGTGCTTCTGTTAGGCAGAGATCTTGAGCTACAGAGGTGTCACTCAAGCACCACTTTTTACATGCTACAGTGAACACTACGAGTACACCTGGGTGTACAGGTGTGTGCCTAAGATTCCCATGAGCCAGGGCTTCTCAGTTTTCTTCAGAGCCTGCATATTTCTTGTTTATTATCTCTTGACAAACAGTATCTGTTTTGTTTTACTGTCATAGACAGAGTCATATAACAGCACTATATTGTTGGAATGAGGTGTGTCTATTCAGTTTTCTCAGATTCTTAGATTCTCAGGTCAAAGCCAGCTCTTCTAGACAAGGCACTTGAGGTCCATTTATTGGCTCTCCTGTCCCTTTAATTTGTAAAGGTAAAAAAAGCAGGCGGGGAGATAATTCACAGCATAGTGCTGGAGGAAGGGCAGGGGTTAATCCTTTCCCCGTTCGCTGTTTTCCAGATAGAAATTGCCTGTGTGATTTGACCCACTGGGGAGAACTTAAGCATATCCATGTGTTTTCTCTAAAAGGGTGTTTTCCCACTCAAGGAGTGGGGTGAGCAGGGTGTAAAAAACCCCCAAAACACATCCAGTATTATGGTTGCAATCTGAATCTTCCTCACCACACATTCACTTATCCCTTAGTTATTTAGGACCCTCGTACCTATGGGACTGCCTCTCCTGGTATGCCCCGCGGAGGACCTTAAGGTCCGTAAATAACAACACTTTGGAGGTCCCGAGCCTCAAGGAGGTTAGATTCGTCTCAACTAGGGCCAGGGCCTTTTCAGCACTGGCCCTGACGTGGTGGAACGCTCTGTCACAAGAGACTAGGGCCCTGCTGGATTTAACATCTTTCCGCAGGGCCTCCAAGATGGAGCTGTTCCGCCTGGCCTTCGGCTTGGACTTACTCTGACCCCTTTTCTGGGATTTGGTATATAAATTTTTTCTTGGCTTTTTTGCTGGCCCATGTAGGACCAGCATGGTTAGCTGGCTCGAGTGAATATCTGATGTTTCGTCCCTTTAATGGTCTTGTTTTATGGGCTACTACTAAAATGAGGCTGCGTTTTAAGCTGTATTTTAATTAACTGTTTGTTTGTTTGTTTGTTTGTTTGTTTGTTGCTGTTGTTTTTCAGTTACGTTTTATTGTAATTCATATTTGGTCTTATTATTAAATCACACTACTTGATAGTATTGACTCTGAGTTGACCTGATTTTTTTCAAATGTTAGCAGCCTATTTTTTATTTCTGTCTCTGTTGAACTCCCACCCACCCCCTGACCCACCTTGAATGTGAGGTTACTAGGAGATGCAGAAGAGATTGACCATAGCTTTGAAGTGCTAGCATTACTTTCCAGTCAGGGAAACCCCACATTTCTAAACGTTGGCTTGCTTTTCTGCTACATCTCCAGGACAATGACTTCCCGTTGTTCTCCATTAAGTGGGTGTCTTCCCAGAAATGTGAACATCCTTTCATGCGCGGCATACCTAGTCAGAGCAAAGATTGTTTTTGTGTTCTTGAGCATAGCTGGGAGGGCAAGCCCAGCCTTCAGTGCGGAATTCTTCTGAAAGAGAGGGAGGAGATTGCATTAACACTGTTAACATTTACAGGCAAAACGTTTGTCAACTCTTTCCCTTCGATACGAGAAGAAGCTCATGGATGAGCAGAAAGGAGGCAGGAAGAAAATCAAGATAGTCAGCAATCCGGTATGTTTCAAGGAGTCAGCAACCTTTACGAGAAATCAGATAATAGGAGAAAGATGAGAGACCCCCTTGAAGCCAAATGCAGGTGTTATTGCTCAGTCCTCAAATGCTTCATTGTTCAAAAAGCACAGGTGGCCTCTTGAAAATGGTGATCTCTAAAAGCCAAAATGCAGATGAGTCACTTGGGGAAACCTTTGGCATAAAGGTTTCGGTTAGTAGTGGGAAACTATTTCCATCCCAAAAGCCACATTCTTCGGCAGCCTTTCAGGGACCTCATGCCAGTGTTAGGTGGGGCCAAGTGCTAAACCAGGCACAGTGATGCATGGAGCTGTTACCTTTTCACGGTAGGTTCCATTCCAGCCATGCAGAAGTCAGAAGTTTCCATATATACACGCACACACACACACACACACACACACACACCCCTCTCCATCCTCCTTCCAGGCAAACGAGTCATTCCAGGCAGGCAGGTGGGCGAAGGCACTCAAGGAGGGCATGGCATGTGGGACCAGTGGGACCCACGGAGGGTCTTGGGCCACATTTGGTACCCAGGCTTGTAGTTTCTCAACCCTGGTTTATTTCCTGAAGCTCATCTCCTAAAACCTTTTGTTTCCACAAACCTTCCCAGGCATTTAATTATAACATGCAATGTACCATTGTTTTTAAATTGTTGCTCTTGTTTGTAATTTAAAAACTGTACATGACCTTGTTTTTTAATCCTCCTTTTGTTGATATTTTTAATGAATTTGCTGGTGTTTTTAAACTGCAGGTATTTTTAATTACTATTTTAGATTTCCCTTTGTAGAACAAAGAAGAAAACTGCTAAGAGGTTTTCTATCAATTAAGTGGTATATACACTTTGTTAAATAAAATAAAACAATTCCATCTCCCCTTGGTTGCTTTGGAGAAGGGATAACTCTTCTTCCCTATTCATTTGTTACAAGGAAGAAATTGGGTCTGGAGAAGTGTGTGCAAAAAAGAGCTTGCTTGTGGATCGTGCTTACTTAAATCTCTCTCTCTTTTTTTTTCAGCAGGCTGGCAAAGCCCAAGACCTCTCAGAGACTAAAACTGCCAGGGCTGCAGCTTTCATTGCAACGGTGAAGCAGTCTTTGAGCCAGCTGAATTTTAACACGTTCTCAAGGGCTCTGCAGCAGTACAAAACCACAAATGACTTCAGTACTATGTTGTGCCAGATGAGCTCACTTTTCGTGGAAGACCAGAAAAAACATGTCCTATTGCGAGGTATTGTGGCTCCTGGACATCTCTTGTGGGCACCTGCTGGTTTTCATGCACAAATTATTATGGTTAATGAAAGGTCTTCTGCAAAGTGCAGTGCAGGAGAAAAACCCGTGCGCTGGTTGCACTTTTTAATTATCCTTTTATTGTTATTCCTTCTGCTGTGCAAACAGGTGATGTTGGCTGTTTTTATCGTCTCGCTGAAGAAATCCATTTGGATTTGCGATTGTGTATCTGTGATACTGGAAAAACAAGCAGTTTCCTCGCTTAACCCTGACTCTTTTAGGATGCAGATGCACATTCTTTCTGCTTGGTTATATAGGGGAGGGGGAAATAGTCCCAATAAGTTTTGTGATCTAAAGCAAACACAAGGAGACATCAGAAGGGGGGAAATGGAGGTATTGGGACAACGCGGGATAGACACCTTGGAATAATATCAATAAAAATAAAATAATCAGGCCAGTGGCCTAACCCCTTTGTCCATGTGCTATTAGAAGATGTGATGGTGGCCACTGGCTTAGATGCTTTTAAAAGGCGATTGGACAAATTCATGGTTGGAGGAGGGTGGTCTTTCAAAAGCTAATAGTTGTGATAACTAGATGGAAGCTTAGATGCAGCACGCCTCCAGATACCAAAGCAGGGAGAGGAGGAACAATGAGGGAGCTCTTGCCTTTATGGGCTTCCCAGAAGCATCTGTCTGGCCACAGCTGGAAATGAAATGCAGGACAAGACAGAGTGACCCTTGGCTCTAATCCAGCAGGGCTTTCCTTTTGAAGATGGTTTTGAAAGAAATTTGGTAATAGCGGCAATTTCCCATCACTTGTCAGAACTTGAATAGACTGTAACATGAGCTATGGAACGTTAATCTCAAGGTGGCAAGCCGCCTTTTGTCAATGTGCTACTGTTGTTCCCTGAAAATACTTTGGAACAGGCAGGTGGGGGGTGACAAATTTCTAGGAACATATTGATGCCTTCCTGAATAAAGCACCTTTTCAGTGTTTGATTCTATGAACTTACCCTTCCTTCTTTTCTATGCAAGAATTTTACCAGTTTGTCCGGCCGCAGCACAAAAAGCAGTTTGACGAAGCTTGCTGTTCCCTGACGGGAGTGGGCTGTGGCTACAAACCTGAGCACAGCCTGAAGCTGGAGGAGAGGTTGCGGCTGGCCAAGAACCTAGGTGAGAACAGCCTTACTTTTGAGGAGTTGGCAGCCCTCTGAGAGTTCCTGCCTCTCTGTATGTTCTCAGTCAGGATCAGGGAGGGATTCTTGTCTTTAGAATGCTTGCATCATTGCTCTGTCATCCCAAGTTGCTGCCCATCTGATCATTAAGTCCTTAAAGATCCTAGTGACTGAAGGGAAGAGCTGGGGCCGAGGAATAACTTCTAAGCCACAGCCTCTGAGCAGCCTTGGCCGTTACCTCCATTGCTGCTAGAGTAGCCTAACAGCTGAAGGGGCAAGTCTGTTCTTATTTAATGACCCAGAGCCAGAGCCACTTCATAAGTTCACTCTCATAGCCATACATACCGGAATTGCCAGTTGGAATGCTGTTCACTTAGGATTGCAGGAAGCTGCCTTACACCTAATTCACCTAGCTCAGTGTTCCCTGCACTGACTGCCAGCAGCTCTCTGGGGTTTCAGGAATTGAACCCGGAACCTTTTGCAAGCAAAGCATGTGCCCTGCCAACAAGCTACTTCAAATTCAAAAATCCTTTATTAGGCATAGCAGACCACACATTATCAAACAGACACCGTATGCAAATTGTGCAAAATACGAGCTCAGCATAACAAGGTTTGTCCCAGTCAGATCTTTAACTCCAAAGGAAATCAATTTGCATAAATAATACAATACAACACTACCACATCACCAATCAATTAAGAACCACTAAATCTCTTTATAATGGCCCAGTCTTTCTACACGGACAGCACCCAAAAATTCAGCCACTATTAAAGTAATTTGATCATTCCTGTCCAAAAGCAGGTCCTGAACCGTTGGTATCATAGAATTCAGCGTATTGAGTTGTAAGGCCTCAAATAATTGTCTTCTGGCATAAATGCCAAAATCACAAGAAAAGAAAATATGCTCCAAAGTATCAGGTTCCTGTGTACTACATTTGCAGAGACGCTCTGATTCTGGGAGAGCTAAATATCTTCCTTTCACTATCATCGAGGGAAACATATTAAACTGCCAACAAGCTATGGCAGCTTCTTTGGAAGAAGTGCTAAAGACCCTCAGTGCCCGTGCCGTTGCTAGAAGAAGCTTATGCCTGCATGGTTAGTGGATATAACATAGGAACAACCTGGCAGCACCGTCCTCCTTGAGTCCTAACCATTTTGTGGAAGCTGTCAATCAGGGACAGGTAACCTGTGATCCTCTAGATCTTGTTGGATTTCCAACTCCTAGCCAGCGTAGCCAGTAGTTTAGCTCCTTCCTATAAGTCCTAGCCAAGGATAAAAGCCTTCTTAGTAATAACACTGGGGTGCACCCTACATATTCCATTTAGGGGCTGTATTCAGTTATTCCTAACCTGGTAGGACCTTGCATTGCATCATGGGTTTCTTAACTCTGTGAGAGTTTCTTCCTTAACAAAGGACAGGTTTCTAGAGCAGCAAACACGGAAATCATCTCTCTCCACTTTCTCTGCGCCATGCATAACTTTAAAAATCTTGATTATATCCTCCTTTGCTTGCCTTTTTTTCAAAACTAAAAATCCCCAGATGTTGTAACCTGGCCTTTTAAGGGAGTTGCTCCAGCTTGCAAGAGGAAGAAAATCACCCCGTGTCAATTTGACTTCAAATGTTTCCCTAAAAGTAATTAAAATATTATATAAACCCATGGTCCCACTGGTTTCCTACCTGGACCCTGAACTGAACTTTCCAGTCTCTTACTAAAGCTCCATTTGGCTCATTAGACCAAAGTTCCATTGAATTTCAGGTTCGATCCCCGTCAGGGTCAGCTGCACATTCCTGCATTGCAGGGGGTTGGATTACATGATCCTCAGGGTCTCTTCCAACTTCATGATTTACGGTATTTTGGATGTGTCCAAAATACCATAAATCAGTGACTAATATATGATATGTCAGTGACTAAGATGCTCTTGTGTTTCATTCCCTAATCTAGCTTTTCTGTGGTGAATTCAGTCTTTCATAGACCTCAAGACCTCTCCTTTGCACTGATAGGAAATACTCCCACAAAAAATCTGTTGCATACTCAATATTATACTGATATTATATTGGCTCTGCCAGACCATTTCAGCATACTAGTTCTGTTTTTTGTTCTCTAAATGAGTATGTCTTGCTCAGACCTAATTGAGGAGGCTTACTGCAACCATGACCAAGTGCCATTTTGGAGCACTGCTACCTCAGCAGCCTTGCGGTGCTGAAAAGTACCTCAAAGGTCATCTAGCAATGCAGGAATCTCAACTAAAGCATCCATGACAGAGGACCACCCAACTTTGCCTAAAATCATCCAATGAAGGAGAGTCCACCACCTTCCAAAAGAATCCATTCCACTGTTGAACATCTCTTACCATCAGAAAGTTCTTCCTGATGTTTCATTGAAATTGAAGCCATGGGTTCAGGTCGTACCCTCGGGAGCAAGCAAGAACAATTGAAGATGGCTATCAAGTCTTCTCTTTTCCAGGCCAAACATATACAGCTCTCTCAACCCAGTCCGATAGCCTTGCCATGCCACTGGAAAACTACCCTTCAGATAGGCACCAATTGTACTTCTTATTGTACACCACTTTGGTATTGTTTTAATGAGATACGGTATATATGGCATACAACTATGTGGTATATTTTAAATAAAAATGGTCAGAATTGGCCTCCCTTAGGAAGAAGTTGTTATTCTTCCTGTTGTTTGGGAAAGGGATTTTCCTGTCATTTTAGGATTAAGAATAAGGATACATTGCAATGATTTCGTTGGACTTCCTTTCTTTTGTTCTTAAAGTACTCTCAAGACTTCCCACCTTCATTCAAGCAATTTTTGTATCTCGTTCTCTTTGATATTAGAGAAGAAATGTGATGAGAAAACCACCTTTTCAGATGGTTCAACTGGGCAGCTGAACACTGAGCAGCATTTGAATAAAGGAGGTTCCCACCTAACATTTGGGTCGGACGGTGCAGGTATGCTTCCTGTAAAGAAATGCATAAAGTATGTTAATGGCAGGAGCAATAAAACTTGATTTTACTTCCTGTATGTCAATGAAAGTAAAGAAAGAAAAGTGGTCCCTTGAGTCAAACCTTCACACGTTCGTTGGGCTGATATTGAGATCACGAGATTGCACACAAACTCTCCCCCCCCCCATCGAACAACCCTATGTTTTTAATTTTATAATTGTAATGTTTTTTTTATTTAGTTGTATTTTAATGGCTTCTAACGCAATCATGAGATGTTTTGGGTTTGTTGTGAAATATAGCAAATAAAACAGCGATGGAGAACTTGTGGTCCTCCAGATATTGTGGTTCAGCAACTCCCAGCATCTCTGACCACTGGCCATGTTGGCAGGATGGATGATAATTCAATTCCCACAACTTCTGGAGAACCAGAGGCTCACTAACCCCAATATCAGGGTTAAGATTAAATAAATCTGTGAGTCACTTTTGACTCATTGACATGATTTGCGTACCCTGTACATGTTAAATTTCTTTTTTGTTATCATTTTTCAGCATTGCACATCCATCACTAAGGAGGAAACTTTTCCTATGGCTTACATCAGTGTGTATTAAGAGATGTTGGGCAGTATGCAAATAAATTGCTGTGCTAGCAAAACAGGATCCCACCTCCTCCAAAAAGGGGGAAAACCCCCAAAACCCTAACAAGGAACATTCTTAACTTGGCTTCATCTGATTCAGACTGCTACATTTAGGATCCTGTCCTTATGTGCCTTGCCTTGTGCTTTCTAACAGGAGGAAACAGTGCCTGTGTGACTGCTGAGCCCTCCAAAAAAATGCCCAGCTCCCTAAAGGAGAGCCGTAACCAAATAATCCGATCAGCTTACCTGAGTGACCTCAAGGTGGCTCTGGACCAAAGCAGCTTCAGCACTTTCTTTTCAGCACTGTCAGCATACAAGAAGACTGATGACTACGATGCCATGGTGTCTGTGGTTGCAGCCCTCACCACAGAGAAGCCAGAACATTTCCATCTGCTACAAAGCAAGTATCTGCCTGATTGTTTCTCAGAGTGTCTTGCTGCCCGCAGAACTCTGCTCTTTCCACCCACATGTTACTAACCCTGTTCCTCAGTGTGGTGGGGCAGTGAGTTCAGTTGCCATCACTGACAAGCTGTGTGACAGCCGTGGCTGAACTTCTTTATGGCACATCAGTATCAGATACGGATGGGGGAGAAATTTGCATTTTGATCCGAATTTATTTCATTTGAAAAGGTTTGTGGATTGAAACACATCTAGGCTTTGAAATTCACCTTTCCAACCAGAAGCATGCTGGAAAATACATAGGTTAAGGGCAATAGTTCATATACAGCAAAGGCGCCTACTTTGATATCAGCAGGCAGGGAGTTCCAAAGTGTGGGTGCCGCCACACTAAATAATCAAGTTCTTACAAATGCAGGTATTGATTTGGATAGACAACAGTTCCGCTAATAAGTTCATCAACCTCCAAGGAGGTTAAAGATTAAGTGCCGTGCAGAAGAGGCACTCGGTCTTTTCATCTCACTAGATTACTTTAGAAGCACCTTTACACTCAGACAAGTTGACTCAACAGGCCAGCTCTGGATCTTGTACAGTCATTCTTGGCACTAGACATATTTAACCAGAAAACTGCAAGGCTTCAGACTCTGTAGGTCTAAGACAATCATGCAATATTCCATACTGGTTCCCAAGAGGATTTCCCCTGCATGTGTTTTTCAGAGGGCAGACAAGAACGCAATCATTTTTGCTGCTCTTTGTGTGAATATGACATTCAAAGAGTCTTTCTGACTAGTAAAATGATTCCGCCGCAGTAGCTGGAAACCAGAACAGGCTGGATTTAGGGACCAGCCAAGAGGGTTTTTTTGTTGTTGTTGGTCTTGTTGAAGTAAAGTGTTTTCCCCATTCCCCTGGAATTCCCTGGCTTATAATGAGCTGGCTCCAACTGTGTGTGCACGTCATTATTTGTTTATGTTCACAGGGTTCTCCATGTTTGTGCGCCCCCATCACAAAAAACAGTTCAGGCAGATGTGTAAAGAGCTGACTGGAATGAGTTGCCCTGAGGAGAGTGAGGAGGCTTTGTTACCAGCACAGGAGGAGGGCTCCCTTGGCTTGAGGGACTCAAACTGCACGGTGGAAGAGAGTAAAACTCAGGATAAAGCTGCCAGCCCAATCCCAGGTTTGAGTTGCTTATTTCAGTACAGTTTTCCCTCCTCCCCAAATAAGTCTGCTCCAGGTTTTCTTCTTTCCATCCACCGATAAGGGAAATAAAAAGAAGTTGCAGCCTTCTCCTGTTCAGTGAATCAGAGGAAGATTAACACAAGATTAAGGATAAGATACAGCAGCCTCTTTTTTTTTTTGCAGTGAAATTTGCTGCTTAATAGGAAAAATGCGGCACCCCCAACCCTGGCACAACAAGCAAAAATGAGGCAGAAATGTGGCCTCTTTGTTTGCTCACCAGATAAAATTAAGTTACAGGTAGGTAGCCGTGTTGGTCTGCCGTAGTCTAAACAAACAAACAAACAAAATCCTTCCAGTAGCACCTTAGAGACCAACTAAGTTTGTTATTGGTATGAGCTTTCGGGTTCATGCACACTTCTTCAGATGCACTCATACCAATAACAAACTTACCGTATTTTCCGGCCCATAGGGCGCACCTAGTTTTTGGGGGGGAATAAAGAAAAAAAAATTATTTCCCCCCCCCCAGACCCCAAAACAGGCTGCTATCCGCAAGCCTAGGGAGCCCAGCGGGAAGTCGCACCGGGCTCCCAAGGGTTGCGGAGAGCTGCCCGAAGCCCGGGGAGCGCTCCGCTGCACTCCCCAGGTTTCGGGCTGCAGGCTGCTGTCTGCAAGCCTTGGGAGCCCGGCGGGAACTCCCGCGGGCTCCCAAGGCTTGCGGATAGCTTCCTGAAGCCTGGACCCCTCTCACTCTCCAGCCTTCAGAGAAAGCCTGCATTCGCCCCATAGGACGTGCACACATTTCCCCTTCATTTTTGGAGGGGAAAAAGTGCGTCCTATAGGGCGAAAAATACGGTAGTTGGTCTCTAAGTTGCTACTGGAAGGATTTTTTTTTTTATAGATAAAATTAAATTATTGTTCATCAATACCTCTTTTGTCTTCACTCAGACAACTAAGGAAGAATGAATTAAGGATTAACTGTAGCCACAAATCCCACCCAGATTTTTAGATTGTGAGTATATTGTTATAAAACGGGCAGAGCAGGCTGACGAAGGCTGAAAGTGTCTGAAGCTGGCAGTTCACACTGCATCTGATGTGTTACATATCTTTGTTGACTAATGGTGCAGTGCATTACTGCCATAATTGATTAACTTATTTTCAATGACACATCTAGGCTGAAGTGTTCTTATCCATTGTGGTCCCCCCCCCCCAATACTGGTAGTTTCCTGATTACTCATCCCGAGAATACAAATGCTTTGGTGTTGCCCCACCTACCAGAAGGAGGCATAGCAGTTTGTAAGTTTGACTCCTCCGTAAAGATGTTTTCATCTTCCCAGACCAGTCCTATCGCTCTCTTCTTTCACACTACAATATGATAACAGCTACAACAGCTACCTAAAGGCAATTCACAGCCCCAGATCAGTCCTGTCTCATGGTACGAAACAGGTTCTGTGGTGGAACCTTTTCCTTTTCTTGGAAGTGTATGGTGGGCATTCTATCCAACACTGCTTCTTCAGGTAGTATCAGTGTAAATTATATCATTTTGCTTATACAGTGGTACCTTGGTTTAAGAACAGCTTAGTTTATGAACAGCTTGGATTAAGAACTCTGCAAACCCGAAAGTAGGTGTTTTGGTTTGTGAACTTTGCCTTGGAATAAGAACATGTTCCGCTTCCTGTTGAGCGTGTTCCATTTGTAAATTGAGCCCCCCGCTGCTATGGGAAAGCACGCCTTGGTTTAACAACGCTTTGGTTTAAGAATGGACTTCTGGAACGGATTAAGTTTGCAAACCATGGTACCACTGTAGTTGCTAATAACACTGGTTTTAGTTTGTTCTTTGAACTGTGCCCTGGGTTTAGTTGTGTTGGCTTTTGTCTTCAAGGAGAAACATGTTCCTGCTCTTCGTATTAGCATTTGTGTCCTCCTGTGGGTCTCCCAGCAGTGGTTATCCCATTGGACAGCCGAGATAGTTTCCATCCCAAATCCAAAACTGAAGCCCAATTAAACTGGACCTATATAAATTTTTCATCTGAGTTAAACTAGAGTCGATTGGCCATCCCTCTCTTGAGTGTCCAGGAAAGGAATGTTGGCCATCAGCCCTGTAGTTATTTAAATTGTGGAGCAAGTACCACGTGTCCTAATCCTGGAGGATGGGTGGTATAAATAAGCAATAAATAAATGGAAGAAAAAACTGCTCATACATAGTTGTGTGTGCTTTTTGAGATGTAACTGTATGATCTCCTCTGCAGGTTCCTCCAAGAGTGAGATGCTAGAGAAGATCCTAAGTAATGCCACCCCTATAAGTAACTTGGAATCACAGAACTCCAAGGGAGGTCCAAGCAGTGTCCGCACACCCATGGATTCTGACAGCGTGCCCATCTCACCATTAAGGGGTATGTAAATATTGGTTCAAGGGATGCGGGTGGCGCTGTGGGTTAAACCACAGAGCCTAGGACTTGCCGATCAGAAGGTCGGCAGTTCGAATCCCCGCGACGGGGTGAGCTTGTGTTGCTCGGTCCCAGCTTCTTAGCAGTTCGAAAGCACGTCAAACTGCACGTAGATAAATAGGTACCGTTCCAGCGGGAAGGTAAATGGCGTTTCCATGTGCTGTTCTGGTTCGCCAGAAGCGGCTTAGTCATGTTGGCCACATGACCTGGAAGCTGTACACCGGCTCCTTCGGCCAATAAAGCGAGATGAGCGCCGCAACCCCAGAGTCAGCCACGACTGGACCTAATGGTCAGGGGTCCCTTTACCTTTACCTTAAATATTGGATCAGGTAGAAGCCCTTCTTCCTTCAAAAGAAAGGATACCTCAACTGCATCAGTAATACATTATGAATGCAGTAGCTCAATGACAGGGTATATGCTTTACATGCACCAGATCCCAGTTTCAGTGTGCTGCACCATCAGCTAAAGGACCTCAACTTTTAAGGGTGGGAAATATTTGGTTACCTAAAGCCTTGGAGAATGTATGAGTCAAGAGCAGACAGTAACAAATTGGATGGGTTAATGGCCTCATTAAGTAAATAGGAGCTTTACATATTCAGTTGTCTAAAGGCGTTCCAACCTTGCCACTAGTTGCTGTTGCCAAAATTTGAGAAGAAGACAATTCCATTAGTTAGTTCCTATCTGTGTTCATTCTGGCTTCTTCCCAGGAGAGGCTAGAGGTCAGAGTGTGCTTTCCTTCATCTCTGCAGTCCTCGGGGAGCTATAATATCAAACAGCAATAAATCTGACAGCTTCTGTTGTACGTATTTTATCTGTGCAAAACTGTGTAGGGGGGGCAGTACTTCAGCTGCCAAAAGGACTCCGCCTCTTAACAGTCACACTCTTTTTCAATTTTCCAGAAGGGTTCCAGTGTGGAAAATGCAAATCTGAGCATAGTGTGCCTTTTAGATGCCAGCTGTGCGACTTCACTTGTTGCAAATTGTGCTGGGAGAGTCTCCTAAAGGTTGGTTTTGCTTGTTGAAGTTTTGCTTTCTCCTTTCCTCAAAACAGCATTGTCTGATTGGTTTCCCCATTCACTGGTAGAGCAGCTACTTCATAATATTGTAATGGAGCCATTTTCCCAGTCATAGCTGGCAGGGTTAGTGCCAGATTCGCAGTGTGTCTGCACCACCAGCATCATAGCTTTGTCCCTCCTCGTAAGCTGTAGTAACAGTGTGATAGGAGGTCAGGTAGGCAGCTGCATCCTGCCCTGCTCACCACTACTAGCCATTACTTACTTTCCCTGCCTCCAAAGATGTGTGACTTGCACATTTTAAAATCTGTTTTCAACTGTGGAGTTGTTACAGTTTTCCTCTGCCAGAAAAAAATGGGTTGTTCTTGTGGTCCATTGCAGCCACAGGCCTCCTCTCTCTCGTGAGGCAGTGGCACAAACAAGCATGCACAGAGCTTTCAGAAGGTACCAATAGCACCTGGTCATTCAGCTTTATTCAGGGAGTGTGCATTGCAGAGAAGGACACTATGTGATTTTCCATGTTCGTTCTTTGGAGCACATGAGTCAGTCATCTGGTTACGCATTGAAATGGTATGGCTTGCAAGCTTTAATCTCTTGATCAGTTTAAATTGTATGAAATTGCAGTTGAAAAATGTTCCCCGTTTCATGGTAAGTATATGCAAATGCAATTCTTCTCTGGGCTATCACTGTTCCGGTTAAGCTGATTAATGAGAGAAGATAGGATGACTGAGGGAGCAGCAAGTACAGGGAGTTACTTTTAGAATTCCTGCTCCATGATTGCAGTCATGGCATTGTTGTCTTATCACATGACGGTGCATATTTTGACTCCACAAAGAGGGAAGTGACGGAGACAGGATGTCTGTGTTACTGTGTTCCGTGAAGTGGGACTATTGTCCTTTGTTCTTTCTCTTTGCTGCCTGATGCTAGAGAGAGAGGGAACCATATTGCAGTGCTCCATGTGTGTTTATATGTAAATAAAGTAGATTAGCCAACATGCTGAGTTGTTGAGGTCTGTCACGCAAGTTGCGAAGACTCTGCGGATCTCTAAGTGTGCCGATGTCTGTTGGCATTGGTTGCTGTGATGTTCGGGCAGAAGAAAGCTTTTGAAGCTCCCGAACAAACGACCAGGAGAGAGAGAACATGCCAGTCGGGTATGTGTCTCTACCAGGGTCCTACTCGAGTGTAGGCTGAGCTCCTGACAGTTACCCCCCCCCATTTAATCATGGAATTGCAACAGTTCCAGAGAAAGAAAACCACCAGTTGGCAGTGATCCTTTATGCTTATTTGAAACAGAGCTTGTTGAGTAGGGGCTCCTGCCAACTCCTACCCCGCTTCCCATTACATCTCGCCCCAAACCCTCATCCCCTTACACAGCTTTTACATCCAATCCCCATCCCCTTCTACCTGCCACCTCCACCCCATTGCCAATCCCCATCCCTGCACAGCTCTTTCCAAACTCCCTGAAAGTTCACCCCAAACTCCTCCATGTGACACAGCTCACCCAAAACTTTTCTGCCCCTCAGAGTGTGAAGCCAACCCCCTTTCTTACAGGAGTAATGCGCCAGGCATGATTGCAGTGTACTCTGGGTCTTGAACCAGGCAGCCCTGGCAGCCAAAACTTAGCTCTTCTTGTCTCACTAAGGCATGTAGGTCATCAGGAGGTATCAAGTGAGCTCTCTGCCCCTTTTGGGCACCAACAGGGCAGTAAGAGAAAGCATCTAATCATCACAGAGAAATGAGGCCTATTTAGGTTACCAAATACAGTGAGCAGCATGTGGAATTATGCCTTCGGAAAGTTCCCCCTGACAAGTGACCTATGAGTTGGGTCCTTGAAGCATTCATCGCCTTCCATGAAGTGCCAACAAAAGAACATGCATGGTCAAGCAGCACGGCCAATTTGCAAAAATCAGCAAACTGATTTTCTCCCTGCTGGGAAAGAACCTGACTCAGACATTATCAGGGGTGTGAGAGGCAATGCCAATGAAAACTGAGGTCAGCAACTGTTAACCAGAACCGCGGTGAGTTCACTTCTTTAACACCTTTGGAACAGTTTTGCTTCCTCCTTTCCTAGACTGGGATTGCATAAACGAAGCAGGAACTTAGAACTGAGCTCTAAAATCCAGAGTTGGGCAATGCCTTTTATTAGAACTAACCAAAATGTCACAAACGTGTGGCAGCCTTTTGAGTTCGACCAAAAACAAAGTGAAGGGGAAACGTGTGTCAACTTCATATTTTTATTAGAATAATAAATAATTAAATAACCTGTCAGATGAATAAATGCTTCAGTAATAAAGCCATAAGACACCCAAAGTCTGGTGTGTAACCCCTATCTGTCCCAAACCTTAAATAAAATATGCAGGTTCATGAGATAAAGGAAGAGCAGAAGATACTTAGAAATCAAACTGTTAACTAAAGTTAGATTATCCCCCTCAGTTGGCCAAGCATTCTGCAAGCTTTGCATTGCTTCTCTATTGTGGCTTATTGGTCTATGGAGTTTTTTTCACCCTGTGGTAACCTTCAGTTGGAAAAGCCATTCTGCAGTTCTTGGCTTTAAGAAAGCAGGTTCTTAGATTTGGCTTTTAAGTACATGACTGACCCTTGTGTGCTTTGCTTTTATTTACTAAACTAGCTGCTGCTGCCCCTACCTGTTCTGCTCACCAACCCCGCTCCCCCCCATCTGAGCAAACACCCCTCCCTTTACCCCTGACCTATCCTCTATCGCCAAACCCCTTTAAAGAAGCGGGGTGCTTTAGAGAGTCATTTGCAAAACAGCTCTCTGAAGTGCCTCCCTCACCTGTTAAACCTCTCTGGGGATGCATGTAACAGGGATGGTGGGGAGGTGTTTCAGAGTAAACTGCTCTCTGAAGCATCTCTCCCCCTTCCCATTAAACCTTCCTTCCCCAGTCATACATCCTTACCAGATCTTGGAAGCAAAATGAGTGATATAATTTGGGTTAATCATGTGTGAGTCAGATGCCACAGATTGAGCACCAAAAGCTTACTTCTTGTTGTTCTTGGCCATTGTATGAGTTCTTGGCAGAATGGCAGACGTCAGACATCTTTATTGTTCTTAGTGGAGTTGCTCATGTTGGGCAGTGTTCATTTCCCCCCCTGTTTTCTGCTTCACCCCCTCCTCACCCCTCAGGTTGACAAGAAGTGCCCGGAATGCAAAGCTGATACCAAGAAGAGACATTTATCTATGAATTATTGGCCAGATCCCCAGTGAGAGAGGTATACGTTGAGGCAAAAATAGCCCAGGACCATGGAAAGGAAGCAATGTGTACATTTGTTTTAAGCAAGCTGCTCTTTGTTCTCTGGACTGATGTTGCCACCTCATGCCGCCACCCTCTTGCTGAAGTTCTTCCATCAGAAGAGATTTTCAGCGCACAGCAGAAGCTTGGAGAAGCAGCATTGTCTTCACGATGACAAATGGCAGCAGAAGGTGAAAGGACAGAGTGATCTTTAGGATTACAGTTCCCCTGATACTCTCAAACATTCTAACACTTTTGCAGCTGTTGGGCTCTTGGAATGACGTTTTTACACAAAAGCATAAAATCATTTTTCTTATAAGAGTCTCTTCAGTGAGGCAAGATAATTATGGCTTGTCTCTGAGGACAGTTTGTGGCTTCCATGCCTGCTTTGTAAAAGCAATCACTTTGTAGGTGCTAAAAAAAACTCTTTGAGGTGTTGGCAGGCCTTGTGATCTGTTTGCCAGCTGCCTACCAAAAGAGTTCAGAGAAACTGACCAAATGAAAACCTCAAATTGAGGTGGATTATCTGCTCATTAGAAGGCTGTGTGTATTGATAGTCAGCTGTCAGTTTTGATAGTTGATAGTCAGTGTAATTTTGGTGAGTCATGAGCTGGTGCTCCGGCTAATTAAATAGAAAGCCTCTGAATTTTGCTGCTTGTGCCTCGTGTCGGAAACTTCTGCTGATAAGAAGGGATTCTGCTCTACTCTGCTTTCTGATGTTTCAGAAGGATTTCTGCAACAACCAATTGGTTCTGTTGCAAAAAATAGAAAATAAATGGAACAAATTTTAAGTACATAAAGTGCTTTTATATTTTTATAAACTGCAAGTATTTTTGTGAATTGAGAAATTGCATCAGTTTTCAAAATTGGGAAATAGTACGTGTTAAACTATGTCAATAAATAAAAAACGCATTCGCCGTGTGGCTTCAATATCAGCAGCATTCCAAACATTGTGGACAGCATCCAGTGATGGCCACCCACTTGCACAATGGATACCTGCTTGTACAATCAGACTCCTGGTTTCTCTTTTCCCCAGTCCAGCCCTCCACATAACAAAATTAACAGTTTTTTGCTTATGGTGTGTCACTTGGCAATAAAGCATTTGGGTTAGTAATCATGGCTTCAGAGGTAAAGCTAAACAAATGTGGTTGCATTCATTTACTGAAAATAATGCAGGGTTTTGTGGGAGATCACTGCATACGGAGGAGAAAAAATTGTGTATGGAGCAACTGATGAAAGGAAACACGGAATATTTTAAGACTACTGAACACTAGGGAAACAGTTATTTGAGGAGGGTGAGCACAGCCTTCCAAGGTCGTAGGCATCTCTTACACTAAAATTTAGGACTCCTGGGCATCTGTTTGGTGGTCAGGGGATCAGTACTGGGAGTTAAGGCTACAGTGAACGATAGTGGATGGGGAGCCAACCTGTACACCGCCTCTGATTCAAAGAAGTCTCTATGCAAATAACTGTCCTTAACCATGAGAAAGGCTAGAACAACTTTCCCCTTGCTTTCTGGCTACAGACCATCTCCTCCACCTCTCCTGACCGAGAGCAGTAGGGTCAATTCTGCATGGTGCTTCATTGCAAGTGGTTTTCCTGTAGCGAAGTTGCTTAGAGAGGAGGAGCACCTCACAGGACCAATGCCTCCACTCAACAGACGTTGCACCATCGGGCTCCTCCCTTCTGGGAACATGCAGCTAACGGTCAGGCAAGTCTTGGCCTTTTCATTGAGTTTTCCCACCTCTTGCCTGCTTTGTGCCCCACTCCTTGACAGTCTCAGATTGCGCTGGGCCACCCATTCCAACTCAGAGCAGTCCATAGAGGTCTCAACCTAACCCAATTTGGCTCAGGCCCTAGCCAAACCCACTGCACAGTTCAAATAACTAACTTACAGAACACAAATACACACACCTAATTTTGACTCTCTTGGAAATAAGTAGGCTATTCAGTTGCTTTCAAGGAAATGGGTGAATTCTAAGAATTTTCAGGGTGTGGTCTTAACCTTCGCAAAGTAATAGAGGCTTTTTCTTTGATGCCATTTTGCAACAAAGAAAAATAAATTGCTTCCAAGCAGCAGGTGGGCTGCCCTCAGCTGCCTGGCCAGATTCCTGGTGCAGAACGCCTGGCGGGAACTACGCTGCACCATGACATTGCCCTGTTCCTTGGTGAATTCTTGGGTGGTTTTAAATGGGAACGGGATTAAATTGTGGAGGATAGGTCTAGCGGTGGCTATATTGCCCATGACAGCTAAATGGAACATCCACATTCAGAGACAATGTACTTCCAGTAGAGACTGGTTCATTAGGGCAAAGGGGGCAGTGCCTGACCAACCTCAATCTGCCCTCAGCCAGCCCCCTACTATGCCCAGTCCAGTGCGTGGCATTGGCTGTCAGCTTCTTCCTCCATAGACTCAGCATTACACTTGTGCAACTCAGCAGCAGGGAGGATGGGAACGAAACCGGAATTTCTTGGCTATGGCTCCATCTACTGTTGGTCTCCCTACACACTCCATGCCTCCCAGGCTCCACTGTGTATCTCTGAATACAAGCCGCCAGGGGCAAGCACCCGGTCCTGAGAGATCTTCATTGGCTCCCAGTACGTTTCCGAGCACAATTCAGTGTCGGTGCTGACCTTTAAAGCCCTAAATGGCCTCGGTCCTGTATACCTGAAGGAGCGTTTCCACCCCCATCATTCAACCTGAGGTCCATCTCCGAGGGCCTTCTGGCGGTTCCCTCACTGTGAGAAGCGAGGTTACAGGGAACCAGGCAGAGGGCCTTCTCGGTAGTGGCACCCGCCCTGTGGAACACCCACCCACCAGATGTCAAAGAGAACAACTACCAGACTTTTAGAAGACATCTGAAGGCAGCCCTGTTTAGGGAAACTTTTAATGTTTAATAGACTATTGTATTTTAATATTCTGTTGGAAGCCACCCAGAGTGGCTGGGGAAATCCAGCCAGATGGGCGGGCTATAAATAATTTTATTATTATTATTATTATTATTATTATTATTATTATTATTTATTATTACTGGAGAAGACAACTCTCTTCATGCCCTGCTTGTGAGCTTTGCAGAATCACCTGGTTGTGGAAACAATTTTCTGGACCAAATGAACTGTTGGTTTGGTTCCGCAGGGCTGCCTTATGTTCTTATAGACTTAAAGGGTGCAGTTGAGGGGTTTGTACGCTCCTTAACTATCACAAGCTGCCTGGCATCAGGGAGAAGCCCCAGATTAGGACCCGTCTCCCCAACATGTTCATTTTCTGTAAAGGCTTCATTCAATAATGTGATCCGATGATCCACATTCTGAAGTGAAGCAGCCCTAGCAAAGTTGTGCATGATGCCTCTAAATGTAGGACAGCTCTTGGAGAAGGTGAGAGCACAGAGAACAATGAAATACTTTTTAATATTTCTATTTAAATGGAAACCTTGTGAAAAATAATGGCACCCTAAAAATATTTCTCATTTATGCACAGTGTTCCTCAAATAGAATCCTGGCTTGCTTCACAGAGTAGCAGCCCAAGTTAAACAGAATGGCAATATTTTTGGGTATGCCTATTGAGGGAGTGCAGAATCTGAGAACTGGCCCCAGAATTCCCTCCTACAGAGCACACTTCTCCAGTGATGTGGTTAGGTCAGCTTGGTCCAGAAAGCCTCTCTTAAAAATTAGTTCTATGTCTTATGCCTTTTTTAAATGATAAACAAGCCCCACATCTCCGGCCAAATGCAGAGATCAGAAGAACTATTCTATTGCAAAAGAATAATGAAGATGTTGAGGGTTTAAAGCTGTTTGTGATATGCATGTATTAGCAATGGGTTGTGTGTGTCATTTTCTCACGTTCTGAAACATCCATCCTTCACTATTCAAACTTCTTTGAATTTTGTGATGCAGTTCGGCAACCAAGTAATTGTGCAAGGATCCATATGGTGAGATATAAAGTGTGCATAAACATTTGTATGTTGGTGAAAATAATGTTGCATTAAGGGAAATTCCTTTGCAAAAATGTGTATATTGGGCAAAATTGTAAATATTAGGAGAAATGTACACTACAGTGCTGACGAATTTTCAAAGTGATGTGGAGAACTGAACTTTAGATTGGAAAAAATAACAATTCAGAAACCAAAACTGGCCTATTCATGCTTCCGTGGCACGCACACAACCCCTCCAAATAAACACAGTCTAGTCTACTGAGTGACTGACCAAAATCAACTCTTCTATGAGGCAAGATTTTGGCGCTGAATAATTAGTAGTTTCTAGTAGTGTTTACTCATGGGAGATAGCGCCAGTTTACGTAACGATAACTCACTTGCTAGCCAGCAGCTGCCCATTCCGTTGCGCTCAAGGCTGGAAGGATGCTTCTATGCACTCTTATTACAAACTTGATTTTCCAAAGCCTTATTTATTGCCACATCAGAGAAGTTCACCACCAACTCAGGATTCACCGTCTGGTGGTTTTCATGTAGCTTATTTAACCACATGACCGCATGGGTTGCAAGTTCCATCCAACTATGATTTCATCTGGCCCTGTTTTTTATTATACGAGTTTTTATTTGCTGTTTATGTCTTATCTTGGAAGGCTGCCATATTGCCTCTTTTGCACAAGTTTCTTTGAATATATTTAGTCTCCTTGACTTAGAACACAGTGGTTCCCAAAGGGTGCAGTAGCGCCCTCTGGGGGGGGCTACCTGGGGGGTGCTAGGGGGCAAATGGGCAACAGGGGGTATTGGAGGTGGGTCCCTCCAAGCACGATGGTCACTTAATTGTGATTGACGAGGTAGAGCCTAGAACGAAACATCTCCCTTGCTTCACATTTAAAGTTCCACTGCTCTTACAGCTTTCAAAACGATTTTCTTTGGTTACGGTTATTTATATTTAAGATTCTGAGTTGTCACAAGATAGTCAAGTTACAAGACACTTGGGGTAGTGGAAGAAGAACTAATTCAGCTACAAATTGACACTGAAGCCAAAGTTTAAGAAATCCTGCCCAGAGTTCTGGTGATAGAAGGAAATTCCTCTTCACTATCTTGTGCTATGTTGTTGTTTAGTCGTTTAGTTATGTCTGACTCTTCGTGACCCCATGGACCAGAGCACGCCAGGCACTCCTGTCTTCCACTGCCTCCCGCAGTTTGGTCAAACTCATGTTGGTAGCTTCGAGAACACTGTCCAACCATCTCGTCCTCTGTCGTCCCCTTCTCCTTGTGCCCTCCATCTTTCCCAACGTCAGGGTGTTTTCCAGGGAGTCTTCTCTTCTCATAAGGTGGCCAAAGTACTGAAGCCTCAGCTTCAGGATCTGTCCTTCCAGTGAGCCCTCAGGGCTGATTTCCTTCAGAATGGATAGGTTTGATCTTCTTGCAGTCCATGGGACTCTCAAGAGTCTCCTACAGCACCATAATTCAAAAGCACCAATTCTTCGGCCATCAGCCTTCTTTATGGTCCAGCTCCTACTTCCATACATCACTACTGGGAAAACCATAGCTTTAACTATACGGACCTTTGTTGGCAAGGTGATGTCTCTGCTTTGCTTTCTGCTTTGCTTTCTGCAGAGACATGCTGTGCTATAGACAGTAGTTAAGAAGCTCCTTGTTACCTTTCCAACTGCATATTTGATGGGACATGGTTTTAGAGCCAACTTCTCTCCAACCTCTCTCCAGGAAATCAGCTCCAGATTACTAAATTCAAGCCTCCTGCTAAGGGACTTTAAACCACATGTTGGAAAACTAGAATCTCATCAAGCCCATCCATAGCAATAATTTACTGAGTAATGTGTTACCAAATGTCGTATAGAAGACTCCTGTTACATGACTAACAGACTTTGAGAAGCTGGTATAACTGATTAAGTTCATCACTTTTGTTGAATCAACAGCTAATTATTTTAAATTGGATTTTGAATAAATGCACATCATTTTGAAAACTAATTGTGTTATTATCTTCCTTAGTGGGTTGTGCAAACTGCTTTTCTCATTGCAGGTCTTTGTTCCTTTTTAGCTAGGAGGGTTTTGCAGTTGACCGAACCAGAAGGAGGAGGGTCTGTTACTGATTCTGCTCTCTCCATGTTGAGCGTGCCCATGTTGAGCTTTTCCTGCGGCTGATTTTAAGCCTGTCATGGTCATGTCTATCACACCAAACCGCCATCTTGGGATACAGAGAAACATCACAATTCCTCGGGGAGATGCCCCACCTGTTGGAGATAAACGCCATCAAACCAGTAGCTCGCTCAGAGAGCAAGTCAGGTCTGTTCAATTCTTTCCTTCATGCCACAAAAGAACAGTGACATCAGGGTCATTTTCAACTTGAAAGTGGGTTAAACAAAGGGGTCACCAAGAAGCACTTCAAAATACAAGATTTTGAGATGGTGGGTAGAGAAAAGCTTTTCTCTCCCTCTCAACACTAGACCTCGACCTCCAATGAAGGTGAATGTTGGGAGAACCAGGACAGATAAAAAGAAAGGACTTCTTCAAGCAGCACATAGTTAAACCATGGAACTTGCTCCCACAGGAGGCAGTGATGGCCACTGTGACGTTTGCCCTCCTATGTGTGTGACGACATACTAGGTTCATAGGGAAAGGGTTAACTAATTGTAAAATGACTAACCCATGGGAACCCAGGGGGCAGAGTTAACTGTGTATAAGGTTTAAGCACAGAGGTTTTTTAGAGGGTTAGAGTTGTTGAGAAGACAGTCTGGGGTTAGAAGAGACAGAGAAGATAAGTCTCTGGGTTGGGGTAGTCTGGTGTGAGAGAGGGAGAGAATTTGTTAAGAGGAGTCAGTCAGTTGAGACAATCAGTCAGAAGGTATTAGGAAGGTAAGGTAAAGGGGACCCTTGACCATTAGGTCCAGTCGTGGCCTACTATGGGGTTGCGGCACTCATCTCACTTTATTGGCCAAGGGAGCCGGCGTACAGCTTCCGGGTCATGTGGCCAGCATGACTAAGCCGCTTTGGGCGAACCAGAGCAGCGCATGGAAACGCTGTTTACCTTCCCGCCGGAGCGGTACCTATTTATCTACTTGCACTTTTTGGTGTGCTTTCAAACTGCTAGGTTGGCAGGAGCAGGGACCGAGCAATGGGAGCTCATCCCGTTGCAGGGATTCGAACCACGACCTTCTGATTGGCAAGTCCTAGGCTCTGTGGTTTAACCCACAGCGCCACCCACGTTCTTATTAGGAAGGTATAGGCCGGTAAAGAAATTAAAGTTAAGATACTGACAGGAATATTATCTGAGAAACCATAAACTTGTTATTGTTTGTAAAATAAACTTGCTTTTTTGGTTCACTTTTAACAACTGACTGGACTCAGTGTTTTACCAGAGAGTAACTGGTTGGTGGCAGCGGGGAAGCGATCACAGTGGTGGCACAGGGATCAATAGACTGTTAAACGTCCGGGGACCCTGTGTGATCGCCACAGCCACCAACTCAGATGGCTTTAAAAGAGGATGACAAAATTCATGGAGGAGACTGATGGCGGCTAGCTAGGATGGCTATGCTCTGCTCTCCACAGTTGGAGGCATCGATGCTTCAGAATGCCAGTTGAGAAGAGAGTGGTATTGTGCTCAAACTTTTCTTGCGGGTTTTCTGCAGGCATCTGGCTGGCCACTGTGAGAACAGGACTAGATCCTGCTGGCTCTTACAGGAGACCCTAACATCCATAATCGTGGTGCAAAGGAAAGTGGCCGTGGGCACATCTAGCTCTGTATAGCCTGGGCTGTCTTAAGTACTGTATTTTTCGCTCTATAAGACACACCAGACCACAAGACGCACCTAGTTTTGGAGGAGGAAAATAAGAAAAAAAATATTCTGAATCTCAGAAGCCAGAACAGCAAGAGGGATCGCTGCACAGTGAAAGCAGCAATCCCTCTTGCTGTTCTGGCTTCTGTGATAGCTGTGCAGCTTGCATTCGCTCCATAAGAGGCACACACATTTCCCCTTACTTTTTAGGAGGGAAAAAGTGAGTCTTATAGAGCAAGAATTACGGTATATCCGGCACCGTGGTGCAAAGATCCCTCTGGTGCCCCCCCCTGCATTGCTGACCTTTTTACAGTGCTGCCAGCAACTTTGCGGGGCTGGAGGAGGCAGCAAGCGGATGGAGGGCAGCTCCTCTGGTGGGGAAGAGGCGGAAGCTCCAGGCGTGGCACTGCTTCAGTGAGGCGGGCGAGGGCGGCGAGCTGAAATTGGGAGGCACCATGCCCAGCCTCCGCCTCTTCCCTGGCGCCCGTGCCGAGGTGCCCACGGCAGGCAGAGGCTCTGGGCGTGCTGCTGCTTTGGCACGGCATGGCGGAGGCAGGTAAGGGCAGCGAGCTGATGCCAGGAGCCTCCGCCTCTTCCCTGGCACCCTCCAGAACTTGGCTACCTGGCGCCCCGCACCACTTGCCTCTATGGGCAAGGCGTCCCTGTGTATAGCTGAGCCATTGGTTTGTAGCTAACAATTCTGGGGCACGCTGGCTGACTCAGAGCCTCTACGTGCTTTCTGCTCATTGTGCACCAGAACAGTTAATACGCTGCTCATCTGATGCTGTCTCGTTAAAATACCATACGTGTTTTTCGGAATTTAATCCCCCCCCCCCCCGCCAGCTGTGTAATGGATATAAACATGAGTGCAAAATACCTCCTGAGCTAGGGACAGGCTAAAATTGGGGTTTTGCTCTATGTAATACTGGAAATCTGTTTTGGAGTAATGTGTTTCTGACTGGCTTCCTCTTTGTGTTGTCTTTCACAGAATCATAGAGTGGTAGAGTTGGAAAGACCCCAAGGGGCATCTAGTCCAACTCCCTGCAATGCAGGAATTTCAACTAAAGCATCTAAGACAGATGGCCATCCAATCTCTGCTTAAAAACCGCCAAGGAAGGAGAGTCCACAACCTCCTGAAATGCAGAGTTCACATAGATTTCGTGTAATTGTATGGGCTACATGCTTGCATGTTGTCGTTGTTATATTTATTTATATCCTGCCTTTTCCCTGTATGTCCTTGTTTTATGGGATTTTAAAAATAGGCTACATTACTTATTAAGAATGGACAAAAGAGAGAAAAAGTGGCGGGATAGGTTCTGCAGGCTTCCTACCCTTGTTACTACTTATTCCTGCTTCCATTCTGGATCTTAAGTGTGCTCACTGAGTGCTCACATATGTAGCTTTAAGATCAGCCACAAACAATTTGGTTGGTTCACTTATAGTTAAAATAAAAGGCTGCTTATTGGACTCCAGCAGTAATAACCACTTGTATCAAGAGATTATCTAGCAAATTTGCCCTGGAACAGTGTGTGTGTGTGTCTGTGTGTAGAGAAATGTCTGGCTTTTGTGTGGCTGGAATATTAAAGGTAAAGGACCCCTGGATGGTTAAGTCCAGTCAAAGGCGACTATGGGATTGTGGTGCTCATCTTGCTTTCAGGCCGAGGGAACTGGCGTTTGTCCACAAACAGCTTTCCAAGTCATGTGGCCAGCAGGACTAAACCGCTTCTGGCGCAACAGGACACCATGACAGAAGCCAGAGCTCATGGAAACACCATTTACCTTTTTATCTACTTGCACTGGCGTGCTTTCGAACTGCCAGGCTTGCGGGAGCTGGGACAGAGCAACAGGAGCTCACCCCATCATGCGGGTTCGAACCACCGACCTTCTGATTGGCAAGCCCAAGAGGCTCAGTGGTTTAGACCACAGCACCACCCACTTGACAGAGGTATACACTGCATCTGTTGCTCTGCCCACCTTTGCATCTGGAAAGTTGCCCATGAAAGAATTTAAACTGCAAGTTGGGAAAATTCCTGACTCCTGGTGTGCACTGACTGCTGGTGGCTCTGTCTGAAGATGCTAGAGATTGAACCCTGGGATCTGCTGTGTGTCACCCAAGTGTGGAAACCAGGCAGGATACAGCCAATTGGAGACTTCTGAAGATGTGCAGGTGTGTTTTGTTGTAGTTGGTGAGCTGCGGCAAAAAATGCCGTCTTGTGCATGCACCAGCCCTTGGGGAGAACCAGAGTGGTCCAGCAGAAAGGAAAATTGGGCAAGTTAACTTGAGTACATCTTTAATATGGCTCCAGGTGAGCAACAGAAATGAAAACTAAACATTCCACAGGGCTCTTGACTTTTGGGATTTTACATACCATGAAATCTAGACAAACAATATTCATTTAGTTACACCTAAACCACAGAGCCTAGGGCTTGCCGATCAGAAGGTCAGCGGTTCGAATCCCCGCAACGGGGTGAGCTCCCGTTGCTCGGTCCCTGCTCCTGCCAACCTAGCAGTTCAAAAGCACGTCAAAGTGCAAGTAGATAAATAGGTACCGCTCCGGCGGGAAGGTAAACGGCATTTCCATGCGCTGCTCTGGTTCGCCAAAAGCAGCTTAGTCATGCTGGCCACATGACCCGGAAGCTGTATGCCGGCTCCCTTGGCCTGTAAAGCGAGATGAGCGCCACAACCCCAGAGTTGTCCACGACTGGACCTATTGGTCAGGGGTCCCTTTACCTTTAATGAAAAATACCATGAAATAATTACCTGTTCTAGGACAGATTATGACAAGGCACATGATGGTGATTCACAAATTCTTTTCTTCCTATTTCAAGTGTTCCTTATCTCCATCCTGCTGTGCTAAAAAATTGTCAGGAAACGATCTCTTAATTTTGTATTTCAGGAAAAACCAACACTAGATTAGTGTTTAACAATTGTTATACAAAGGTGGATGGAGGAGGCTGGGGGCTCCCACAACTAACATTACACCATGACAAATTTCAGTTGAGTCAACTCAGTTTTATTCTAGGAAGGCTGATAAAAATTGGATTTCCATTAAACAGGAAATGTTGCCACACAGAGAGCTACAGTATGTGTTTTCCATTTTTTCAAATGATCTCCTTCAGGTGTACATCTAATTTACTATC